AACTCAAGTCTCTAGCTTTAGCTATGGCATTGGAGAAATGCCCAGCAGAATACAGTATGCTTGAACCACGCTTACATTCGACTTATGTTAGTACTAATCTTTCCAAGCAGAGGCATAGATACACCATACTTTCTAATGTTGTAGAATCTCCCTTATGAGCAGACTCATGCGCAAGAATTTGGAGGTACTCTGATCAATTCTCAGTACCCAAGAACAGCAAATGTTCTGCTCATGCTCACTGAGCATGCTGAGATTTGTTGAGCCTAGTTTGGCTCAAGGTAGAGATCATATTCCTATCACATGGTGTGCACACGTTCCTGACAATAACAGCAATATATACCTCAATTACGGTAGAGATATGTCTACTTATACTACTTACAGAACCAGGAGGAGGAGCAGTCAATGGGCGCCTAAACACGGGCGTTCGAATACTTTCCGCAACCACAAGTACAGCGCACTTTCCACCTCCTTCCTGCATCAATCCTCGAGGTCGCTATAAGCAATGGTACACGAATTCTCCGTATCGCGCATGAGGTTGCTTTACACACAGGATGTTTGAAGGCTTCCGAGAGCGTGCATCTCCAGCATGTGTCCTTTGAAGTGAGTCAGTGAGTCGATTGGAGAAAGCTCGCGACTGTTGCGAGACAGTATTTCGTTGCATCGTGCAGCGTTACACCTACACCTGGGTTGGCTGGCTATGCAATTTCACGTCTTCTAAACTATGTCCCCATACGACTTCACGTTCAGATTGCTTTCCCCGGGCAGTAGGTTAATCGGCTTCTTGGACTTGCATGCATACGACCTCCGAATGTTCTTGACAAAGTTAACCTTATAATGGTCGAGGACATTTTGCCCTTCGAAAGAACTTCATGAAAATGTCATCTATAATACCTTACGATTTGACTAGTCTTAGCTGACTTGTGGACTATGCATTCCGAGTCCAGTACCCACCGGAAGGTGTGGGCGGTATGGTGTGAGAATCTGGAAGCTTTCTTGGCTTCTTAACCTCGTGTCGTGCTCCGACGAGTACGCAAAATGCTGTCAACTCGCCTTCATCTCTACGACAGCTCTCACCGCGACGGTGGGTAATCTTTCGGGGTAGCTCTATTATTGGTACATTATCAAGTCATAACGTGTCCAAAACTAGTGATAGATGCTTCTGCGGTGGTGCCGCGGGACCACGCTGCTCGCTCCGGAAGAGCGCAGACTGATTGGGTAGTGATCTTGATCGGAGCCAAAGAACTGGAAACCTCTGGGGCAGGCGATGGTTGCCGATGCCGGGGTTGCTTGAGGTTCGTTTGGAGGAACAACACGAGATCTTCTTCTCCATTACGACGGTATCATCGGCGCAATGGCCTCCGGAGACATTTGTGCCGAGGGCTGAGGCGCTGCGGAAAAGGGGAGGCGCCAGACCCCTAAATCTACAGGACGGATTGGAAGGCTTGATAGTTCCGTGCCACAGCGAGGCGTACGCAGTGCACCATGTACTAATCCGTGGCAGGGGTATCCGCAGTGCTTCAAATTAGATACCCATCCGTGGTTTGTTGAACGCCCTCTCACACATGCTCTCAAGGCGGGTATCAATGATCGATAAGGTGCCTTGTATAACAATCTTCTTCCCTATCCTATCGCCGCCTTGAAATGCTATATGCCCGTCTCAACAATCGACGCTGAGACCCACTACTCAACGTGGACTATCTCACAGCGTGTGACAGGGTCCCGCGCAATCTCGTGTAGCCTCCGCTTGTCAACCTTTCCGTTGCTACGAGGCAGAATCTGTAAGCTATGTCGCTATAACCTGCAATCTCTTCTGGGCGACTCACCCAGTCAAAGGGAGCGCGTCCAACGCCATGTACCTCGACGGCACTGCATAGCATGGCTGAATTGCCATCGTTGTCTCGTGTATCGCCGCTGCAGAGACCGAAATGGGCGCATAAAATCCGTGCAGCTCGCCGTCTATGAGGAGCGCGCACGCAGACGTGATCCCTGCGCATGAGTGCATCGCCGCGCTGACACCGTCTAGCTCCACCCGGAAGCCCTACCCGTCCAAGAATGAACGATCAAATGCCGCGGCAATAAGATTGGAGGGGCACGAGTGCGCCCACCTGACCTTGACCTGCTCATCAACGCGCCCGAGATGATCGAACTTCCCGTCTGCGCGCATTCGACCGAGATCTCCAGTGCTGTACATCATTCTTCTGGAGTCGTATATGTAGGTTGTTAGTGCATCCGAATAACTGCGGGAGCCCAAGAGATGCGCACACGTACCCGTCTGCTCGGAATGGGTCCAGCCTGTACTTCATCTTTGTGAGCTCAGGAAGGTTGAGGTAGCCGAGACTGACTCCCAACCCGCCTGCCCACATCATGCCGACCTCTCCACGAGGCAGAGGGTGTAGCTCTTCGTCCAAGACGTACACTGAGTTGTTAGGGGTCGGTCGTCCGATCGTCACGTCCGAGCCGGGATGGTAGTGATCCATTGTATTCACGATGGTAGTCTGCAATTGGACCCGGAAAGGGGGTATCAGAAACATGTCGGGGTCCGAGCGTGACTGTTGCGTAGCTAAATATTCCTGGACCAATTGAGATATCACTCACCTCTGTAGGGCCACAGCAATTGAAGAACTTCACACGATGCCCCCACCGTTCCAGAAGCGCCTTGGTACATGGCTCGCCCGCGGTCGCCACGACCTTCACATTTGCGTAGTCCTCGGGGTCATGCGGTTCTAGTATCGATGGCGTGCAGATGAGTACGTCGATACTCTTCATCACCTTGGTCCAGTCTGCGCGTCGGAGGCCACGGAGATAAAGACTCCCGCCATTCAAGATGCAGCTGAAAATCTCCCAGGCGCACATGTCGAAAGCGACGTTCAGCAGCTGCGCCACCTTCGTTCCGAGGGTGATACCCAAGTTCCCTGGAGCCTGACACACCACTTGACGTATGTCAGACCCTGTTCGACCATCGTAAAGAGTAGTGCTTACGATTGACGACGTTCGAGTGGCTTACAACCACGCCCTTGGGGCGCCCAGTGGTGCCTATCAAAATCCTCATCAGCGACAGCTATGGGTAACACTCTGCAGAAATCACATCACCTGAAGTGAATATTATATACGCAGGATCCCCGGGTCGTGCATCGTCTAAACTTGTCCCAGGTCCCATATGCTCGTCCGCCTCTAACAGATCTTCAATGCAGTACCATTTCCCCTCGACGCTCCCAGAACTTGCGGCATGCGTCTTGGAAACCAGAATGACTGTTAGTCGAGCATCGCTCACGACATCTTGTAGCACGCTATGCGGGACAAGGGTCCCATCTAGCGTGAAATACGCCGCCCCCAGTCAGAACACCGCAAATAGGGCTACGATGTGTTCGAAGGACCTTTCCAGCACCAGACAGACGCGGCTGCCACGGCATACGCCTCGGTCTATGATTTGTCGCGTCAGGCGAACAGAGCGCGCGTAAAGATCGGCATATGTCAGTTGGCAGTCGAGGATATCCTGAGCAGCGAGGGCAGTAGGCGATGCGGATGCATGTGCGTCGAGGCTGTCGCAGATGGTCTGGGTGATGGGTGGAGTCGTGATGCCATGTGCTGTAGAAAGGACAATGGGCATAGATTCATCGCCGGTGAAAGGGTCCTCGGATGTAGGTGATGCACCAGTTTGCGATCCTTCAGAGGGATCGACGAAGGATGAGGACGAGAGAGATTGGTGTGAGCCGTAGTAATCATGCAGTGTGGTAAGGATAGGGAGGAGTGTGTCCCAGCAGAATGCCAAGATGAGCTCGAGGCCCGAGCGGAGACGACGGAGAAGGGGAATCTCTGAGGGGTATACACGGTCCATCGCTTGGTGGCTGAAGTGGATTCCAGGTCGCACTAATGGTGAGCAACAGCGTAGCTGCAAAGAAGGCCACACTACCCGCCTCGAGTATTGATAGGTTGTGTTCACGAGTAGGAGCCGCTCAACAACCGGTGTTATTGGCACAGCCGATGCGCTGAAATGCAGATGAGACTGAGAGCGACGGATGTAAGTTGATGAATGGAAATACCAATGCGGCTCGCCCGCGCGCAAACCGCAAGCGCATCGCGCTGGTAAGATCCGGGATACGTTGTGACCTCAGGGGACTCAAAGGAGCCCAATGTGGCCTTAGACGACAAGGCTGCAGTAAAGTCTTAGGAAGCAGGTTGCTGAGCACAGAAGGCAAACGGTACCGGTGAGGCTTCCGCACAACATCAGCAAATGGTCAAATGTCGAAGTATCGGGAGGTTCTCCACGTGGGAACGCACTGACGAGAAGGGGATCAGCGCGGCTTCGAGGGGAAGGAAGTCATACGCTTTGTCTTGCACCCAAGACCTAGTATACCCACCGAGCTTCAGAGGTACCGACCACTAGGTCCTAACGCGAGTTCCTCTACCCCGCGAATCGTCTGGAGCATCTAGCCGACCTCCCTCTCCCTGAAAAGGCATTCGAGGGCAATTGAATCAACACCATCAGGTGGAAAGTCGGATTCTTTGCCATGGAACACAGGAGGATGGAGTAGACGAAGTAGATGCAAGCAGGAAAAGTGGGGCGATTCTCACAAGCGCAACGTATGAGGGGCAATGAAAGCAGTATAAGGTATATGATCAGAGACGGGAATGGGAATATAACATAGCCACCGAACGAAGGATATCAGAAAAGGGCATTGTTCAGGAATGCAGAGACGTACAGGTGCATCAGGACGGTCATGATGACCTCGACACGGTGCTTGAGGTAGCGGAAGTTGAGTGCACTGCCTCAACATCTGGAGGCCTTTCGGGCACCGTCAGCGTGAGTGCCAACACCACAGGTGACTTGATGAAGGTGCCCACACAGTCCTGAAGCTACAGCGACCAAAGTTGTCTTAGTCCTGGCTGATCGGGAGTTGCTACATGCGGTTGACAGCCCCTCAGCAATCCACTCCTCTCCAGTGGACCAGAAAGTGGCTAGTAACTCACCGTAAGAGGGTCCCAGAGGACTAGGACCGTCCGTGGGTGGTTTTCGAAGGAGCTTCTCCCGGAGTCGCTGAGGCAAAGGTAAAGAATCTGCCTTGAATCGCATCACGATGCTTCCCGAGTAGATTCCGAAGAGGGGCTTTGTAATCGCACGACCAACTACATGGGCCCCCGTAATAGCCAGATGTTCAAGCACAGTCGGACGAGAGGAACTCGGACGCGAGACGATGTAGAATGTTGGATTGAGCCTCGATTGGGGACAAGTGCAGAGAATGAATCCGTGATGCGTCCTGGCGCTTGCGTGAGATGACGCTCCATCGCGGACCGTGAACTAGGGTTCGGGCCGGACGGGGAGTCGAGATCGGAATGAGTCGTCTTTCTTTTGGCAGCTGCGGCTCCTCCTTTGCACTGGTTTTCACTCTTCGTCAAACCTCCGACAATCTTGTAGCATCTTCCGGTACAAGCTCACAAAAGCTCTATCTTCATCGCTTCGCGTATCTGAAGCCCAGTCTCGTCGTCGCGCCTGCTGTGGAGAGCTCGAGATAGCGGGACCACCTTAGTAAGTGCATCTCGGCGGGAGGTGCGGGCAGGCGTCACTGAAATGCATTCGTACTAGGCCAATGGATCTGCCAATTCGCTATCGGTCGGCAACACCTGCGTCAGAACAGACAAACAGTCGCTGCCGCGCTTGCTCCCCACCTTCTCTGGTTTTCCTATGGTCTCCTTGGTACTCCTCTGCTCTAATGTCATCATCCACAAATACTTCGGACAATGTTGCGATGATAACCCCCTTGCATCTTCCCAGCTGCAGACCACGCTTGGGTCACCACTGGCAAGGAGCGAGAGAATCAGAACCTCATCAGGTGTGCCTTTCGCTCTCGCAATCCGTCTGTCTCGTGGTGCGGTCACTGACAGAAGATGTCCACTATCCCAACGCGCATGCTCCCTTTTCAATAATCCCCTCACCTTACCGACCTCCCCGGTTGTCGAGCTCGCCATTCGACTCCGTCGGGCCGACCTCAGATAGCATTGCGCAGACAGTCACGTGCCTCTGTTGTGATCTAATTCCCACGCTCGTCCATACCTGCTCCTCAATATATACTGTCCGTTCTCTCATCCTCACCGGCGGATAGGCACGTCTCCTCGCTGTATGACTGTCCCTCTATGTCCCCATGTCCTCATCTACTTTCTTCATGCGCTCAACCTCCAACGCTGTCCCTCCACTCCTGCGCACATGTACTCATATTCTCTGTTTATCGGGCTGCTCTTGATGGACCTGTTCGCCTTTGGTTACTCATATTTTCCTCCTCCCTTCCCCTTGATTGCTACATCAGTTGCAACACCCTGCGACTGCCCCTCGTCGGCGTGGAGGATCGTGTCGCAGGGTCCCTGCCCCCACTTTGCCTCCTCTGCCTATCTGCTGACGGCTCCTGGCCGTCTTGATGCTCCCTGAACTTCTTTCCCACACTACCCCCAATGTATATGCAAGGTAAGTCTGCTTGTTGTTCTTGCCCGACCTGCAGAGGCATCAGGGAGCGGACGCTAAGGCCATCCATGATAGGTACAAGGTGCGTGTTCGTGTTGGGCGCTCCGCCCTGCGTCTGGCATGTCATTGTCAGGGGTGAAGGTCATCAGATCTGCCGCAGCGCCGGTTTTACCATACATACTATGGCGGTACTTTGCTGCGGCATATCCTGGTGTTCTCCTAACTACCATGTGTGTTGACATCTTGTGGGCTGTTAGGCACCTGCGTCTACGCGTCCAACGAAACTGATAGGTCCTTCTCGCCGATGTGGATGTGCATATGGAGACTCCCCGCTAGCGGTTCAAGCCTTGGTGGCGGCAGCGAATTCGCATCCCATAGCACCACAGGTCGTCATCGTTGACTTTGCGAGTACATTCTTGTCTAGCCTCTGGAGCCTCCGTCTCATAGTCCTCCGCAGTACACCGATGAGGCCAACGCATGGACCGGCATCCCCGAGTTCAACCTCCTCGCACGCAACGTCACCGTTCCTGGTCTCTCCCGGCGCTATCCCGCCATCCACTGCACGGCCTCGGCCGACATCTGCCAGCTCGTCACAGACGAGGGCGAGATCAACGCGGCGCTATCCACGTTCGCTCTCATCCACTCCCCTCTCTTCAACCTCACCCAGTCCCATTTCCTTCTCGCGAATGACGGGGGCATCACCTTAAAGCAGGGCACGCTCGGTTCCGTCGGTTTCGCACGTTTTTCGGTGCAAGTCGGGCTGCAGTACGAGATCGATGAGCGCGAGATCTCAGACGGATTCCCTACCGGGTACGTGCCCCAGGGGACGACCGCACCGGGCCAGTGGCCGCTGTACATGTACGGCACGGAGGCCTTCGAGCTGAGCGACGCCCTTCGCCAGCGCGCAAAGCCAACTTGAACGACACTGCGAGCGCGCCGCAGTACGGGACGCAGACTCACGCATTCCATAGATCGCATAGTCGTGCAGAACTGCAGTCGCAACTAGATATGATGATCCGCTTTCGTCAGGAGAGCCGTATCCAAGTATCCAAGTATGACGAAGTGCAGTTGCGTCACGACGGCGAGGTTCAAAATGTCGGTTCGTGGAAGGAAGACAAGGAGCCTCTCGATACCGAGATCTAAGCCGTCACGACACGAAGGTGTGCCGTGGTTCTGGTGCCGTCCATGTAGATTACAGTCCGCTAGCTTCACCGAGCGCTAAATGATGCGAGAACGGATTGTAAGCTTCTACAGAAGGCTCCGCGTTCTGCTGGCAGAGCTCGAGGTACCGTGTTGATACGAAGATGCCGTCGGATACGGAGGTGCAGCGGCTGCGTCGTGAGAGACACATTGAGTGTTCCCTCGAGGAGCAGGGCGATCGCGTCTTGGTTGCGTTGTAGTGCATAAGGCGTCCCTGCGATGTGGACAGCTTCTGACTTGGACAGTCTACCTCCGCTGTAGGTCGCACAGAGGCCTCAACGCGGTATACGAGATTTTCTTGAACGAGCAGAGTGCAGTGTGTGATACGCCGGGGCGTAATGTGTGCCTTGCGGACGTGCAGGTCGTGCAGAGTATCATGGACGAGTAGGAGGATGTGAAGAGTAGAAAGGCGCGGAACTGACATCGATCCCGCCGTGAGTCATCGAATGCCTATCGACACCAATGGATTACGGCGGATAAGGAAACGTCTCTACAGAGCACATCTTTTATGACTGCCTCCCGATCGAGACGCTGCAGATGCAGGCGTAAGAGCTTGGTGAAAGAGTCAGGACTCACAGGCCAGTCAACACGTAGCAGGAGCCAGCACCGATGTTAGAGTCTATAAACTTCGAAAGCTACAGAGAGACTTTAGGGATGCGGCGTCCAGCGAAGATGGTAAAACAAGTCTACCGAAGGGTTTGCGGTCGAGAACAACGTTTGCCTTGAGCCAAACTAGCAGACAAAAGGCTCAGAGATGACTGCCACACGGCAACGTGTGATATGGGGACTATACTACAAGAAGATATCATTATGAAACGATCAATACAAAAACGAGGGAACAAGACAAGACAGGAATTCATGCAGAGGACATCGCGCCAACTCTCTTCCAGTATTCTACCCATCTACCCACATCGTCCGGTCCGAGTTGCTGCAGCGAATGGTTGCGAAGAGCTGCGCAGTGCTGAGCGCTGTTCTCGATGTCCAATAGAATGCCGATGCCGATGCTCTCTGACACAAGACTTCGTCGATCGGTGGCCTGGGCGGCTATGGACTTCCAAATTGGCAGGAGTCTGGCAGCGGGAGCGAGATAGTGGGCTATGTGGGGGTCCGAGGATTGCACGGTCTGTACGAGCTTTGAAAGCCAACTCTGGTATGGAATCACGGGGACTTTGAGCTCTAAAGAGAAGTTATGCATGGTATCCGACCACGACATAGGTCTCGGATGTCGCAGATGGAAGAACACGGTATTGGAGCTCAACTGCGCGATTTCCGCTACCATAGAAGCACAGACGTCGACCGGAAGCCAGGAGACCAACTGCAAATCATTTAGTATCGGTTAAAGCTTCAAAGACGCGGAAACTGACCCCGTCCCCTTGGGGAAGACATCCCATTGTGGCACTGGCACAGATCATGGCTGGCAACCATTCGGACTCCTTCCAAGCGCCATTGACACCACCACTCAGCTGCCCAATACGGACGATAACGGGTCGGACAACGTTCCTGTCCCCCGCGATCTCAAGAAGCTTTTCAGCCACCCATTTGGACTCGGAATACCCTGTACCGACTGCAACGCCCGCGTCGATGGGCGTTTCCTCTGGCGGAGAAGTACCCTGGTAATCTTGGAGATGTGAACAGTCAGAGAATTTCAACACCTTGTACACTAGAATCTGGTGACTTACTGCGGAAGATACCGAAACTGCTGCTGTAGAGAAGAGAGACTAGACCAAATTCCTGGGCCTCTTTTGCCAAGTCGATAAGCCTGCGTAATCCCACGAGGGGACTCTCGAAAGATGACAGCGGGGATTGGAGATTTATGGGCCACCCTGCGGAATGTCTCAGCTGCGGATGTCACTCGAGCGTACAATTTGACTGACCGAGAAGGACAATGTGAGAGACGCTAGTCCGAATCTGGGTCATGATTAGATCAGAGCTAAGTGACACCGGCTCCGCTAACTCACCTCTTCATACAGGTCCCTCGGTAGTCCAAGGAACGGCTTGTCAAGAGCGCACGCCACAGCTGCGAAGCGGGAAGATTCGAGGAGGGAGATGTCGAGCCCATGGTGCTCAAATGCCGAAATTTGGCGCTGCTTAGGAGCAGTCCGGTCATTGTCCTCCCGAATCAACGCGTAGATTGTCTTGAAATTTGAATCCTGAAGAAGCCGTGCAAGTACATGGGCTCCGAGACTACCCGTTGTTCCTGTGATGACAATCGACCCAAGGGTGTCTCGCTGAGACAGATTTTGCACCAGCGATGGAGACAAGTCAACTGTGAGTCGAGAAACCAATGCCTCCATGTTGCGAATCTTGTCTCCAGTGACATTCGCTTCAGGGGACGGGGATGAGGTAGCAAGGGGTGCCTCGGGAGAAGACGTGGCTGCCGCATCGTCTATCCTCAACAGGAGGTCTCTAACTGTCAGGTCAGCCAGCAACTGCAGCTGAGAGACAGCGACAATCGGTCGCAGGGCAAAAGAGAGAGATGCTGCAGAGAGAGAGTCCAACCCATATGAAGTGAGCGGAACATCGGGGGAGACGTCTTCCTCCTTCATGTCGAGAATACCGCAGACGATCTGAGTTAGCGAGGGCTTGCCATCACCGTCCTGCGGGGCCGACTCGCCGCCATCGTCTGGGACGAGATGGTCGTACATGGGAGAGGAGCCCATGTTGTCTTGAACCGCACGCCAATCGAAGCTGGGCACATACTGCCATACGGGACCATCCCGCAACTTCTGAATACCATCACCGATGTGATCGCAGAGTTCTGGGAGGAGATCAGTCTTGAGGTGAATGAATCGAAGTATAGTCGGACAAACCTCGAGCGGACATGCCCCATGCAATGACGTGACGCAAGCGAGACTGATAGGAGCCGTCCGTTGTTGAAACCAATCTACTATCTGTGATTGCAGGTGAGACGATTGAGAATGCGTTCTTGTACTTGCGCGTCATTCCAGCCAAGGCAGAATTTGCGCTGTAAATGATACTCAGTCAACGGAATACATATGCTCAGAGGAGCCACCGTGACCTACGCCGCGTAGTTAGTTTGACCAGCATTCCCGAAGACTCCCGAGATCGAGGAGTACGTGATGAAAAAGTCCAAAGAATTGAGGTCCACTACACGCTCGAGCACCTTGAACGCGTCAACCTTGGGGGGGAAGACGATGTCGAATGTCTCTTGAGTATGCGACGAAAAACTGCGATCATTGAGCAAAGCGGCCATAAGCATGCATCCGCCTAGGGGAGCTGGCATACGTCGTAGAAGGGCCGCCATATCCTTCACAGATGTTGCATCGACTGCAGGTGTTTGAAGTGTAAGATCAGAGAGTTCACGAAGATGGCGGAGGACGCGCTGAGAGACCCAATCTCCTGCCCTATCCAGGGTAGACGGTCCAGAACGCGATGTTAGGATGAGATGACGGGCTCCGTGCTGATAAAATGCCAGTCAGTTGGTGGTGTCAACGCTTTTGGCATCTGATAAAATCACCTGGTACATCCAAAGCGCCGTGTAAAGCCCCAGACTGCCAATACCGCCGATGAGTAGATAGCTCTTCTTCGGATCGAAGAGATCAACAGCTAAGGATGCAGTAGTCACCCCCTCGGGAATCCGCTGAGAAGGAGGGACGAGTGAAACCGGTGGGGCTTTCCGATTGTCGTGATATTCGAGCGATGAACGAAGAGCATCCCCCATCGCCCACGGATCCCGTGCAGTGATTCCTGCGACACCCTCTTCCGGATCGTTCCAGAGTAGCATACGTACACGACTAGAGGCCAGCAGAGAACGAAGAATCGTTGCTTCTTTTCTCTCGCGGGTGCCAGAGAGAATGACGTTGGGCTTCCTGAGATAGCTGGGCGCAAGCTCGGCCGTCCCCAGGCCAGAGATGAGACTCGCCTCCACACCAAGTTCCTCGCAGAGGTCACACATCTGAGGACCGAGTTCTCCATCAGCGTCGTGAATAAGGATAACAGACCCTTTGAGGCGCTCAGGATGTCCCAAGGCGTCGGGTCCGATGGCAAGAGCGAGGGTAGTAGACGCTAGAAGAGGTGGCACAGAGAGATATGAACTGCTATCCGAAGTTACTCCATATTTGAAGTCGATGACGGTCTGCTTGTGGACCTGCATATGGCTGGAGATAGTCTTGGGCGTGATGCCAACGACCGGAAGGGAGGAGCCATGCACCCTGCCAACGAATTGATGAAGGCCTGTGGAGTTCCGTGTGACGCCGTCGACCTGCACTATGATGTGGTCTGCGGAGGGGAGAGGAAGGTCGATACGAAGGACCTGTCCATCCTCTAGTGTCCAAGGCTGGTCCAGAGAGAATGGCACGCGCGAAGGAGGAGGCTCCGCCAGCTCGACGCGAGGGACGATGACAGAGCCATCGGCGTTCACCTTGAGTTCTAGCTCTTTCTCTGCTCGGTAAATGAGCTCATGCGATGCTTGAGCTCTGCGATCTGGGGGCCAAGAGGGATCAAAGGTGGCAACGCGAATAACCCATGTAGGATACTCTCGACGGAGCGCCCTGGTGAAGCCGAGTGAAGCATCGCCGTCCGGTCCCTCTTCAGCAATGAAGAGGACGGATGATTGCTCGGAAGCGTCCAATGTGGCCAAGTAGGCTTGGATATTCATCTCCTGACCCCTGACGTATTGTAGGATGAGTGAGCGAAGGGGTTCGCCATTGAACGACAGCGGAATACTTGTCCCGGTGGTCGACCCGGATCCTGTGTTCGGCAAGGAAGAAGGAGTCATGTATCGGTTACCATTGTCCACGGAGGGCTGCTCGTAACGAGGCACATCAGGGTTCAAAGCCCCAGAGAGTGCAGCCCCGCTGTGATCGCTGAAGAGGGTGAGATCGATAGGACGGTATATGACCTCGTAGCGCCTTGGAATCGTCTTGACGCGGTGACCATGCAACGCAACATCGATTCCAAGGAGGGCGCATATGGGCGTTCCTAGATCGTCAAAGATGGTTGCATTGTAAGTGATAGCATCTGTGAAGCATGTCGCTAATGAGCATCCAATTTCATCGATCCGACTTCATCGAGCACGAGAAGCCCGATACCACATACCCGGAGACCACTTGACGAGAGTGGCGTAACCGTATACAGTGCTGGGAAGGGGCCCGGTGCGTAAGAGGCGGATGGAGGAGATTCGGGATGGAAGATGGTACAATTCGGGATCAAAGTTTCCGGTCAGAATGGGATGTACCATGACATGGATGGCTGCATCTAGAACGGCAGGATGGAAGCGATAGTCCGCAATGCTGATATGCACCACATCAGTCTCCGCTAGCCAATCTTTGGAATACACGTACGTCGGTATGTCGTCATCCGCGCCTCGAACCTGAGTGAGAACCTCGACAGATCCGTTCGGTCCTCGGGAAACGTGACAGGTTTGGATCCTACGATACATCGGTCCAAATTGAGCAAAGGACCCCATCTGTTGGTAGAAACCTGTTGAAGGCTGCATTAGCTCTGATATGCGCAGCCGAAGGAACTCAAACATAAACCTTTCATCTCGACAGCAGTCATCCTGTTGCGGAGAGACTCCAGATCCACTGTCCGGACGCTTGACGGGTCAATAGGCTCGAAAGACAAGAAGCCGGATGCATGGCGCCGGTTGTACTGAGGTCCTGCATGTCAGATTACCGCGTATGGGCAGTCGTGAGATGCTTTACCTGAATTGGCCACGTTTTCGAGTAGTCTACAGAAGATGCGCTAGCGACGCTCCAGCGGATGCCTTCCAATTTGACTTCCACAGGGACAGGCCTCTCGGAAGAAAGCGGGAGAAGACCGTGGAACTCGACGTCGAAAACAGCCACTGCGCCGAACTCAAATGCCTGGGGGCCGTAATATCAGCGTGCGTGCACGTAGTCATTCTGCCAGCAAACATCGTACCATCTCAACAAACCCTGCTGCCGGCATGATAGGTTCCCCCTTGATGATGTGGTCTGCGAGGTCAGGGTGAGTGTACGCGTTGACCTGGAGTTGTGGATAGTTAAGAGGCCCATTGCGTCGTTGCATTTGCCTGGCAATCTCTGCGCTCTGTATTCGCCATGGGACAACCTTTGGCGCGAAGGGGTATTGGAGAGCGTTTCCACTGAGCTTTGCGCCGCCAGTGAGGACGTCGAAGTTAACGCAGTTGTGTCCTGCTACGACAAGTTTTCCGAGGGCGGCGAGGAGCTCCGAAGCCTCCGCGCCAGGTTCCGGGACACGCTGACGACGGAGTGGGCACGTGACGAGCGTGTGCTTCTCTGTCATGGACACAATGTAACTTGTCAAAACTGGATGCGGCCCAATCTCGACATATGTCGCAGAATTGTGTGCTTCAGACAACGCAAAGATCGCCTCCGAGAAGCGGACAGGACCCAGTGTGCCGTCCCAGAAGTACTGCGCGTCCAACTTTCCCGTAAACCTTCCGCCGGTCTTTGTGGAGTAGGTCTCGACAACGGGGGCCGACACTGGATAGCGGGAAAAGACTTCCTGTACGAGCTTCTCAAACTCCGCGCGGCACAGCTCCATCATCTCCGAGTGCACAGGGATCCTCGTGCGGAGCTTGCGCGCGAAGATACCAGCAGCATTCGCCTTCTTGACAGCTAGATCGATGTGCGACTCCGCGCCAGACATCGTGATGGCGGCGGGAGTGTTGTAGCATCCGACCGTGAGTGTTCCTTCGTCCAGCTCCGCACGGACTTCGGCGATTATGCGACGGGCCTCCTCAGGAGAACAGGACACAGCCGCCATGGTTCCGCTCGCCTTCTCAAGAGAAGTCATGGCTCGACCGCGCGCGATCGCAACCTCAAGCGCCATGGCCTTAGATGCAGATCCAGAGGCAGATAGGACAGCGGTCTCACCAGCCGAGTGGCCGACGACAACGTCAGGCGTCACGCCAACAGCAGCTAAGGTGTCGACGAGGGCAAGCTGGAGCATCGTCAGGGCAGGTAGAGTGATGGCGATGGGCCAAGGGTCTCCGAGTGGGTCCTTGGTCTCTGTCACCGTGTCCGTGAAAAGACCGATATCAATCAGCGAGGAGCCTGTGGCAGCCGTGTAGACCTCGTCAAGCTCGAGGATGCTTGCACGGAAAGGGGCGCATGTCCTGTACAAGTCACGTCCCACTGTATCAATCGCGTTATGTTAGTACCGGCCAGAGAGGATGACTGCCCAAACATGCATACTCTGGAAGTGCTGGGTGCCTTGACCGGAGAAGACGAAAACGATAGGCGACTTGTACTTGGGAACTATCACAGGCTCGTTGAATTTGGGTGCTTTGCCACTACCGGCGACAGCGAAGGAGCGCCATGTCATGGATCGTGCCCGGCGACCATAGACTTTTGACAGACCAGCGAGGTTCTCGCTGCCCCAAACGTTCAGTAGAGACTCGCCGACAGCGACAGCGGACCTAGGGGATAGTCCACCAGCAACAAGAAGAGAAGGCGCGACTGTTCCTTGTAGCCAGAACACAGGAATATCCGCACCCGCAGCAGGAGGACCTTCGACAACAGCGTGCCCATTAGCTCCACCAATGCCGGAGCTCGTCATCGCGACAAGTGGCGGACGGTTCGAAGACCGGACATTCAAGCGCTCTACTTCGGTTGGCACCCGTAGACAGTACTCGGACCAGCGTATCGCGGGATTAGGGCGCGAGAAGTTGACATTCGGTGGGATGAGCCCGGTCTCGAAGATGCCACAGACTTTGCAGAGAGACGCGAGGAAGGCGGTAATCTCAAGGTGGCTAGCAACAGGTAAGTGCGGCAACGAGTATGGTCGAGTCTATCCAACTCACCCTACATTGCCCTTCACGCTTCCAATGAGAATCTCGTCATCTCGTTTGAACTCTTCCCCAACCCAGTTTGCCTCGGTGGGATCTCCTTGAGCAGTTCCTGAATAGAAAACCATTAGTCGTTGCATTCTGGTCACATGCAGATTCCTTACCTGTAGCATGCAACTCGAGGAAGTCTACCTCCTCTGGCAATCTACTCGTTTGAGCAAATGCACGTTTCATCGCATCTCTCTGCGCAGATGCGACAGGGGCACTGGCAGGAGCAATTGAGCCGCATGAATTAACTCCAGTGCCTAGAATCTACAAACATTCGTTCAGAGACCGGATGCGCAAAGGAGGAGCATAGTCTCACAGTTGCGTAAATGTGGTCGTGATCTCGAAGGGCACTCTGTAGTGGTTTCAACACAATCGCGACGGCACCTTCTCCACGACCAAACCTATGTACAGCATTCTAGATCATCTTCCTACGGCAAGTCTTTGCTCACATACCCATTGGCTGAGGCGTCGAATGGTTTACACTTCCCGTCTGGAGAGAGAATGCCGCCTTGAGTATAAATCAGCCACTCGGTGAAGCTACCGATGTTCTCATCAATATTCTGCCATGAATCCAGACGGGAGAACATACCGGCAATTTATCTGGCATCCTCCCACCACAGCCGCCTCGCATTCTCCGTTTCGAAGAGCTTGAACAGCTAGATGTGTCGTATGCAAGGTCGAGCTGCATGCGGTGTCTATCGGAATTGATGGCCCACGAAGATCCAGGTGGTAAGACACCCTATTAGCGATGGTTGCCGGGGCGTATGCAAAAGATCCTTTGGCCTCAACGTCATCCTGGAGAATCTACATCAACAAATAGGATCGTCGGGCAGATTCGACAGACATACGTGACCCGACAATGTATAGAAGTCATGAGAAACTCCAGACATATAACAGCCGACATTGCGACCGCGATATTCTATTCCCGAGTCTTGCAGGCTCAGAAATGACGCCTCAATCAGCTTGCGCGTGCTCAGCGGCATGTAGCGAGCGTCTTTCGCAGTAATGCCAAACTCGAGAAAATCGAATGTGTCTAGTCCTTTTAGGAATGCGCCCTGATCACAAAGCACTTGCCCAGTTGCGCGACCACGCATACTAGACGCAACACTGAGCTCGCAGCTCACATACGTAGAACGCATAAATAGCCTACTATTGTGAGTTGAATCTCTCTTCGGGTATTTGCTCGTAGGCCTCTCCTTTTCGCAACAAGAACTCGAAAAAGGCCTGATAATCCAGATTTCTATCGGAAAGGCTGCCGCTTGGAAGCAAGGCCCCTATCCCAACCTGGTATTCAAAGAGAGATGAGCAAAAAAGATCACAATGAGAGCAAGGAGGATTCGGCGTACCACGGCAATCTTGGGCAAATCGACCGTAGACATTCTGGTTGAAAAAGTGTTGTGTTTGGAGGAACGGGCACAAACAAGGCTCTATATATATCATCGGCGACTAGGGCTGCTAAACTGATGATATAGTGCTGTGTGAGCGCTGTTAACGGGAGATGTATCATCGATCTGCGCTGAGAGCATACATCCGTACGGTATGTGGGAGCTACGTGAGACCGGTTTTAGACGCTACTCCTCGTCAAAGAGAAGCAAGGCTTTGTCCTGTTTGTGCCATGATTTGTAAACATCTCCAAAGATGTGATACGAAGGACGATCGTCAGGAGCGCGCATCCATGACGTGAAGAGACTCGGAAGCTCAGGACCCGGACTACCCTTGCCTTGGCACCCGACAGAATTTTTGAGGCGTTCCATGCGAGCGGTCGATGAAAGATGTACGGACTATAGGGCGGATGTGTGTAGTATCCTAGGAAGGTCACATAGCTTGTAATTTACTCGGTGCACCATCACGGGGATACATACTCCCGGTGGGGCCTCAGACGACTGACGTACAGCAGTAACAGTACACATAAGCCAGTCAGCGCCCACCCAGCCTGTAGCAAACATAATTTATAAGGCCTAAGAGGTCAGCTCAATGGCCTGTCTCACTCTGTCGACCTGATCCACGTCCTCGGCTCCGGTCGCAATCTCACACAGGTGACAAGCTCCGAGCGCTCTCTCGCTGAGCTCATGATTAGAATGAGAGATGATTCCTCGGGTAGAAGTTGTTAGATTGTACAGCCCTGGAAACAATCTGATTCCAAGTCCGGATGGAAGCTCAAAAGCTATCTGTAGGTTTGAGCATGTGGAGTGGAACAGGTACGGTCATAGCGAATATTGAAAGCCTACCTATATGCGAGCCGGAACAACTCAGGAACAACTTATCGGTGTGAGCCATCACTCAAGATGTTAGGGCCTGGTGCGACCCGGACATATCAACTGACCGGTCTTTATTTGGGAATGGCGCTACTTACTCTTCTTATCGGAAGGTAGAGACTCTGCACTGTATGAACAGGGAGAGGTGCCATTGGCTGAGAAGCTGGATCCAGTCTAGGTTAAGTACCTCAAACTCCACCGACGGACCATCGTTCTCATGTCATGTCCATGGGGGCAGTGACTGTCTATCAAGTACGCTCTACGCTGTCTTATTCCGACATGCAACAGACTCCCGGCTTTCACCCTATCTCTTCCCGGCTGGCCTCATCAGTGCAGTCCACGTCGACTCAGACCCTGGACACCTGAGCGTGCGCGGGGCGCCCGAGTGCCACTCAAGCTTCTTCGCTTTCAAAGGCACCACTAAGATTGACTCATCAAGCCTCACTCAGGTGCGTTGCCCAAGAAGTACGCTGCCAACGGCATACGTGATGATCTCAGATTTTACTGATTACAGGGCTTCTGCCATATGGCGAGTTAGGACAAATTTTGCTACACCGCGTATACTCAGCAGACGTCTATGATATATGAAACAGGGGATGATTTAATCACTCTTGAGCTGCCGCTATCGCGGTCGGCGCGACGTCGATACCTAGCGTCTCAAGACTGAGGGTTTTCGCTATGAGGATTGCGTCATATCCCTAGCAGACAAGTCAAACACAGGCTTTCGATCCTAATCCGATATGATCATTCGTACGCGTCCACATCCTGGCACAAGAGCGCGGCACTCTGTGGGCAGAGCAAGTGCCTTATCATCCAAGACCTCTTTCAAGGCGGGCTGGTAGCTCCCAGCATCCCAGGGCGTCGTATCACTTCTTCTGACTTCCGTTGAGAAAAGCGAGACACATCTCCTGAGGATGTTGATACCCACAAAGCGACATCCCATCCCATCTCATTGTGTTCCTCAATCATTTGTCGTACCTGTGCCATCCGAGAGGGGCCATTCTCTGGTGTTGCGGCGCTCATGTCCGGGTGCGCGGACAGACACTAACGATGTGAGCTCTGGTGCTGGGTCTTTGCGGTGGTCTTGGAGGTCCCTACATAGGCTGATTTCGACAGTACTGTGTCTCACGCCCACGGAGATCGTCCGGCGGGGTGAGTCATACTTGCACATGGTCACGAGACCGGCCCAAGTCAAGAATGACTATGAAATATACCAACTAGGATTAGAGAAACCGAAGTGGATTGCGAGTGATATAGGGTAGATCAACAAAGCTGCCTGAGAATGAGGAACGTCCATTGGCCAGTATAAGATACAGATGAGAGAGCTAGTAGTGCAACATGCGGCAGTAAACGAACAGTGTCAGGACGTCATCACATCGTGTGTTCTCGTAAGTAGGGTCGTACTCGTTGTCAGTGTATATCATAGAAGTAGAAGAGCGGTCATGGCTTGCGTGGAGAGCTGACGGGCGAACCAAGCAATGTGCTGGACGGACGTTCGAGACGACTCCGCAAGCGCTCTACTTCGCGCTCGAGGTTCAGAGACTTCTGTTTGAAATCTGCCGCCTCACGCTCAGCACGACGCTTGGCGAGTTGTAGGTTGTTCTCTGACGTTTGCTATGAATGAACGCTGTCAGCCAGGAGCGGAGGGTCATATGGGTCGACATACGAGCTCATCCATTGTTTGGCGCATGGAAACGATTTTTGACTCGTAGTTCTTCACCTCTTCTTCCAGACGTGAACGCTGACGTTCCGAGTCATGCAGAGCCTTATCGGTCGTCCGATGGATTCGCGAAGTGTCCTTCGTTGATTGACTGAGTTGGCTTGTGAGTTCCTCGATCCTGGATTCCAACCGTCTCGAGCCAGTCGCAGGACGAGGCGCATTCAGCGACCTGGTCTCGAGATCGACGATTCGTAGATTGAGATCCTTGACCTGCTTCTCGAGGTTGGCCTGTAACTAATTAGCAATAGTCCGAAAAAGCTAAGTGAGAACGCCCACATTCATCTTATCAAGTTCAGAGTTCTCCACTCTGATCTTTCCAAGTTCGATCTGGCACTCGTTCGCGTATGATTCCGCCTTCTTCATCCGCTCAAAGGCCATCGAGACGCGATCGCCCTGCTCCTCGAGGGAACGCTCAAGGTCCTGTTTCTCCAGACGCAGCCGTTGCACCTCCGTATCCGACGACATCCTGTTTGTATCGACGTGATCCATCTTGATAGCCTCGAGCTCTGCTTGCAGTGCTCGGCGAGCTTTCGGTAGAAGCGTGCGATCGGTCTCCGCGTCGTTGAGTACGCTGCGAAGCTCGCGGGCTTGAGAATGAAGGGAGACAATTTGCGACTGCTGCTCTGCTTGGGCAGCAACAGACGCATCGTACGCCTTCGTGACGTCTTGGATCTTGGTCCCGAGACGCTCCTTGTCCTTCTTCCATGAACCACCAGTGTAAACCTCGTCGTCATAACGCAATTGCAGCTCGTCGTACTCGGAGCGAAGCCTACGGCTCTCCTCACGAAGGCGACTCATTGTATCTCGTTGCGACTGCAACTCTGCAACAATACATTAGTGATCCAGGGAGAATGTGTAAAGCTGTCGTCAGATCACTGACCTTCGCTCAGTTGTGCAAGTTCGGCTACAAATTTTCGGTCAATAGTTGGCTTGTAGCGACTGCACGCCGAGAACGTACCTTGATGCTTCTTGCCGGTCTGGTCCACAGCGTAGTCTCGTTTTGCTATGTCTTGCTGGTGCTGCTTACCCTCGTCCTTCATCTCTTCCGCAAGACGCTGGCGCAAGAATGCAAGATCAGACGACTCGCGGTCTTCTTCAAGCTTGCGTTCGAGTTCCTAGATGCGTTGCTCGGCAGTCTGCAACCGCTGTTCAGTCGCTTGGCGGTCCGCAACAGCTTCAGCGCGGGCTTTCTCGGCGTCAGCCAGCGCGCGCCGAGCTACAGGCAGATGTGTCACTACTGCCCATTCGTGGAGATAAGTGTGAACAAACCGAACGGCTCCGCGCGAGCTGCCTTGGCGGGCTTGATCTCGACTTCTTCGTATCGCTTAAGGTACTCGTCCGTCTTCGTCTTATATGCGTCGATTGCTTCTTGGAGTTCTGCGAATTGGTTTGATGTCAGGACAGACTCTCAATGTTGTTGTGGGATCTAATCACCAGAATGAATGGTGGCCGTGGCGGAAGAGGTGATCTCCAGCCGTTGCAATCGGGCTTGAAGACTACGCTTGATGGCTGTCACGACATGATGAACATTCTGTGTGTTGAACGGATGAGAATCACTCACCGATCTCGTCGTTCTTTGCAAGGATTTCCGCATACAGACGCTCCTTCAGGGCATTGACCTCCCCTTGCAGCTGCTTCTTGGGGCGGTCAATTCTTGCAGCTGGCGACGCTGGTCCTCGACCTCCATCTGAGTCGCGCGTTGTTGGACGACCTGTTGACATTCTGATCAGCTAGCCAGCGCATATTCCGACAAGCGGGCACCCGTACCAAGGCCTTTCGCGACTCTTCGAGACGCGTGTAGCTTTCACGTTCCTGACATTGACACTCTCGAGGGCCTCGCGCTCGCGCTGGCCCCGCACCGCGCGCTCCTCCGCAAGAATGAGCTCCGCCTCCTTCCGCCTGAGCTCGTCGTTGTTCCGCGTCGCAGCCAGGAGCGTTCGAACCCAGAACGAGACCGCCATCACAATCGGAAGCTGCGCGGCCGAATTGCCTTCTTTCTTTTGTGTAGAGATTCCAGCAGGGCAAGCCGCGCAGCTCTCTGTAGATCCGTGCGTTGAGTCCGCTGAGGCATCCGTATCAGCACCGCTACGGTCAGAATCTTCTTCATCTGCCTGCACGCAGGGGACTTGCGCGCGACGGCCTGCAGTCGCGAGAAGACGTCGAGCAGCAGCGCGCCCCTTCGCTGCGCACGCCCGCCTTGAAGAAGATCTTAGGCGTCCCGATGCGGAAGATTGACTCGTAGAGCTCGAGCGCGTCAACCATGCGCAGGCACGCCTTGCGGCCGTGCACGTAGCCGGGAGGAAGGAAGATGATTCCCGGGGCGAGTACCTCGTACCGCAGGCAGAACTCGATGAATGGGAGGCGGTCCGGGTAGCCGGCGCGCGATGCGGATGCCCTCCGTCGCACCTCAGCTGGTCGAGCACGAGCGCGGCGTCGACACGACCGGGCTCCTTGAGGGTGTTCGGGATGATGCACCAGAAGAAGTGCGGCTTCGTGCCCTAGAGCTGCATCATGAGTGACGAGAGCAGCTTTTTGTGCCATTGGGAGACGGTCCCGACGACACGCTTCTCTGCCCTACGCTTCTTGGTCATCATTGTGGCGTGCAGGAAGTTGATGCCCGTGAGGAGGGGCAACTCACTCGGCGAAGCGGGAAGGGACTTACAACGAGGGGGATAACCCGCAGGGCAAATAGCCCTTGTGCCCGGGCCGAGGTACAAGCCGATACCGGGGCGCCCAAAGCACAGGGGGCCATTCTCCCGATACTTCTGATTTGCCTCGACTACAGTGACCCGACGAATAGCATGTGCCTCCCCGGCGGGAACTCGCTCAAAACGAGGCCGCTGTCCAGCTTGACTAATGTAGAGCGCAAGGACAAGCAAGGAAATGCGGGTGCGCAGATCATACTTCAGGCCGAGATCGACTAGTTGCGCTCCCTCCTCGAGGCAAGTGTCGCCAAAGAGACTCGTCACAGTCAAGTCGCCGAGAGCCAGGGGGAGGAACCCTCGACCTCCGTTCGCAAGTCTCCCTAGTTTCTACAGGCCTCGCCTGAAGCCGTAGGGTCTCCGCTTAGACTGAGAGCAAGCTGAGTGTTGAGATCAGGACGGTAAATCGTGAGCGCAAAACTACCCTTAGCCCGGTCATCACACGCTCTGTGACCCTCAGCGAGCTAGTCGCGTCCACTTCATCAAGAAAGCTGAGGCCGTGCTCGCTTGAGTCGTGGCTCCAATCCCTTCGCTCTCATGCGATTCACATCGACGATCAGCTTACAGCTGTTCCGAAGGCCAGGATGGTAAGCGAGTGCATATTTTCGTCTCGTATCGAGGTCTGATCGCTCGCGTATCCATTGAGTTTGGAATGCCAGCTTGTCAGCACACAGTTTCGATATGCGACTTGAAGACGCTGCTCTTCACCTTGACCGTGATAAGGCTGCTCTTGAATTGAGATTCGAGATGCAGTGAAAGTGGATGAAGCTCGAGAAGACCGCATCAAAGTATAACGCGGACGCAAACCTTCGGGACGTAAAGGTACACGAGTATGTCAAGCAGCTCGAGGCGAAGCAGGATCAGACCATCGTCGAACACGTCCGCATTCTGCAAAAGGTGAAGCCACGGTCAGTCATCGAATAATGTTCAGGGTACGTGCATTGTCATCCCTATCTCCTAGCGAACGTTGAGAACGCTTGGTTGTACAGCGCACTTTCCTGCCATAAATTCTCGAGGGTGCTACATGCAGTGGTACGCGAAATCTCCGTATCTTACATACGGTTGCCTTACACGCAGCGGATGTTTAAAGGCCTCCGAGAGCGTGCGTCTGTCCTTTGACGTCCGCCAGTGGGTTGATTGGGAAGAGTCCGCGACTGTTGCTAGGCAGTACTTTCATAGTATTGTGCAACGTTTCACTTACACCTGAGCTGGCTTGCTATGAAATTCAACGTCTTCGAAACTATGTCCTCTCACGACTGCGCGTTCAGATTGCTTTCTCCGCGCGATCAGTTCATTGGCTTGTCGGGATTGCATGCGTTTGACGTCGGAAAGGTTTTCTTGACTATTTACATCTGATAACGGTCGAGTATAGTTTGCCCTTCGAAGAACGTTCCGAAGATTACACTATGATACCTCAAGCTCTGGTCGGCCAGTCTCAGCGGACTTGTGTACTATGCATTCTGGAGACAGTACCCGCCGAAAGGTGTGGGCGGTATGATGTGAACATTTGGGAGCTTCTTTTTGGCTTCGTGACCTTGTGTGTGCTTATAACGAGTACGTCGCCCCCATCCTCAGCGACAGCTCTCACAGCAACCTTTTGGTTTTTCTGCTTGTGTAGTCGTAACCTGCTGCGTGTCGTATGCGTCTCCCTTCTCTTCCTTCGGCTTTGTGGTCACTCGTACGGCAGCCGACGAGTCTCTGGTTATCTGGAGTGTCCAATACTTTGTGTCTATCCCTCCTATCCAAATTCTCATGCCGTGTGGGGTGAATAATCCGTATTGCTTTCCTCAATTGGGATAGGACCCGTCAATCGATGAATCAATTTCGAGAGTTCTATCCCACATCGTCTCTGTGGGGGTTTACAAATGGAGACTCTGCACCGTCTTCTGCGTACCATCGACGTCTGTCATTGAATCATCAGCAGTTGGGACCTCGCCCTCGATCTCCGTCGCGACTTTGATGTCAATCCTAGCAGGGCGCGGATCAGGCAGCTGTTTTGCGAAGAGACTGTGAATATGCAACGCTGTAAAGAGGTGAGTTGTGCTCACTTGAGGGGCGTTCCATCGTTCAGCTCGGGCCTGTCTCCTGGCCTTATCAATCAAATTGGGCCCGTAAGGAGAGTCCGCTCCGAATATCTCAATGCCTCTATTGGCGACCATATTGCGAGAATTGAGACTGTCATACGATGAGCTATCTAGACTCCGTCATGACCAGTTTTGACTCACACAGAGAGGAATGTGACCAAATATACTGAAGTCAGGGATATGAGGACGGGCCCGAAATGATCATCGATAATGGACCGCTCACGCTTTGTTGTGAAGGTATCAAAGGCAATCCACCAGGCCGTTCCCGGGGCTGCATACACCTAAACAGCTGGTGAGAAAGCAAACTATGCGCTGAGTTGGCGTAGCATAGTCCATACCAAGATCCAACACACAAGGTCACACACGCTGAGATCCATGTCAGTACCTGCGACAGCTGCATTTGAGATTGTTAACGGACCTCACTAACAGACCTTCATTGCGGGATTTTTGAGGTAGATACATCAGAGAAATTGACATTGAGCTTGCGTACCTGTATCTAGGATGTATAGCATGGACCTATGCACGAACGATTTTGGGCTAAGAACACAGTCAGATCAAGGGGATAGACCGACACCGCTATGAGGACACACCTTGTATCAGTATATCTTCGTTGCCTTCGTCCCAAGTATATGACGTAGTACAGAGAGCTAGTCAGAATTATATGCACAACTGCCGAGCACGCATATTTTCCTGACATAAGGGACTGTGATGTGCTCATATCAATGAGGTCGGAGCCGAGGAAAGACAGTACGTACGCCGTGCTGTTGACTCATCCGTTCCTCAAACCTTGCCATGCCACCTAGGGTCACGCTATAGCACACTCAGGCACAATTTTCGGGCGAGTGGCAATGGCCTTCTTACAGATATGTGGTCATGGCTAAAGCCAGAATTTATCAGAAATTGACAGCGTGAAAACACCCTCAGCATGGCTCACCTAGGCAAAATCCTGTCATGGGACACATGAGTGGGTAAGAATATGTCCGAGTCCGATGTTGCATGTAAGACTTACCAAACCGCCCTAGGATGCATGCGCACTATACAATGAATAGCTCGTAAGAAACAGGTCACCGTCTGGAAAGCATGTACACACAGCAAACACGATGATATGCTTGTTATTGAGACCCACTAGAATGAAGTTGAGCTTGAGAGCACCCCCTTGTGCGAGAAACATACTCATCCATACTCGCTGGACAAAAAACCTGGCATAAGTGCGCTAATCAGTATATGAGTGCCCCATCTGTCATTAAGCTTACACGAGCGATATGATGATGGAAAACTCCTATAAATGATCAGCGTATTGACGATGCCCACATTTTGCGAACGGAAAGGTAGAAGCGACGTACTGAGGTCACCGGAAGTGCCTTGTTTCAATGCACTCAGCTCCAGGTGTAATACCTCATTGTACCAGCACTCACGTCAATAGACCTGTGAAGGTATCAATATCAGAGTACATTACACATGCGTCTGATGACTCACCATAAAGCTTTTGTGTATGCCGTTTGAATGGAATAGTTGGTAACCAACGAAATGTACCTATACCCAATGTCAGCACTGGCCAAGAGCGCTCATGAGGAAAGCGGCACTACATAGCATGCATCAAGAAAACAGTGTGCAGGGTCTCGCACAATCTACACCCGGATAAGTCTTATGAGAATGGTGCGCTGTGAGATAAAGAGTGTAGGCATACAATGCACTCCACACCTGGACGCAGAAATCAAGTATGAAGAAGAAGATATTGAAAAGACTAGAAAGCTCGCACCAGAATTCGGATGTACAGATCGTCTGAGGGATAGGCCTGGATATACACGTATGTTTGGCGTAATATCAAGCCATAGAGTCTAAAGAAACAATATCTTGGTTAACAAACTCGGTGACAGAGCTTCACTTCGGCGTACATAAGACTGAAGAATGTAGCCAATAAAAAGGCCCCGTAGACATTATCCACAGAGGGAGCCGTATTCGTGGACATTGGTCGCACAGAGGCTGGTGAAGCGGCGAGGGGAAGGGATTGGAATGGTGTCTGAAGTTCTCATCTCGGGAACTGGTATTTTGACCACCAAGCCCCTGTCCGTTCTGTGGTAGAAGCTATGTGCACAGCACATTCGAAGACGGTCCGTCGCTCTTACCTCGGAACTACAGGAACCGAAAGTGATTTGTTCTCTATGCTAGCTCTGGACTCATCACATCTTGTTCAAACGGCTGCCCGTGCCCGGTGGGTGACAGAGGGGCTTGACGAACACGAGATTTGGCCAATCGCACCCTAGGACTTCATCTTTCAGCTTTAGAACTTATCAAACATCGCACAGGATGATGTACTTCTGATGTATCATAGACGGAAAGACTAGCCAAAGTTCATCTCGCCATTTGTTGAGCACCGCTTTTCTCGCCTAGAGGTTCATACACATTCATCCCTGTGGTGTGGTCGTTTATTCTAAGAGACATGAAGTTTCGGGGAAACTTCGACACTGACCTGGACAGTATCTTGTAGCATGTATCACGGTTGTTCATCTCCTGTACCTCTCTCAAGTCAGCATGAGGAGGCATCCCAACATTATATCCTGTTCGGCAACTCATCAGACACCCTATCATCCCCCCGTTGAGTCAGGTCTTTTGCAATCATGTGCATGCGCGCTCCAGACGTCACTTCCGAGTCGATGCGACCTTCCTCAGCAGGGGCTAGCTACCTAAATATAGCGTTCATGTCATCCATATACCCGCTGAGTAACAGTGTACCCTTAAACCGCATGTGGCACATTTACATCGGTGCGGTAGAAGTCGCCCATGCAGCATTAGCACGGGCGTCCCATGTTAATCAGCGCTGTAACAACATAGAATTCAGGCTTCCGAACATCGGACATGTGGTGTACGTTAAGTTCGTTCAAATAGCTTCCTCGTTGCAGATAGGGGCGGTCGCTAGCGAATCGCCCGCCAGTCAGATTGGTTCTGACCTCGTCACACGCCTGTCAGATGGATTCTGACAGCTGCCCCTTTTGCGGCGTCTGTGTGTATCTTCTCCTGTCTGATGGCATGGCCTATGTCGCTTCACAAGCATCGCCGTTACCTTTGCAGTTGAATGCGGCAGGTCTAGAGCACTCGTCTCATATGGTCCCTGCCAAGGTGAGTTGTGTCACCTTGACCGTCTTCCGAGCTTTCTTACTTCTCGTTCATAGTACCTCAGCTTCGGAGATAGTGTCACGTCAACAGACAATTATAGGAAGGACATCACGCAGAACCAGATAGGCAGTTGTGAGAGTATAGACAGCGCCTGCGATTCGTGCACTCGCTCGGCTTGTCTCGTCTCGTCTCGTCTCGTCACTCTCAGCATACCCTCCACCCCCGTCCAGTGAACGATTGGTGTTATCGAGCTGATCTCGTACAGGCAGATCATGGCGTGGACAAATACCGTAAAATGGGGAGCACCCGCGGAAATGTTAAGAGACGCACCGGAATAAATCTATCTCCGCATATGCCCGGCTTGCATCTCTGTACTGCTCATGCCTGCTCAAGCCCGTATTTTGAGGTTCCGGACACTCGTCGAATGCTTATGGCTTGGGTCCCAGCGTTTCCTGATATTAAAAGATTCAATTGCGTAACTCTTCTCCCCGAAAACCCTATTGCGTTTGTTCCAGACAGAATGGATAACCCTTTTTTTTGTCCGTGCAGAACTCCAATGTATGTGACGGAACGTTGATGATCTCTATCAGCTCTCTCAGACTTCTCGATGGACCAGCCACATGTTCAGCACTTATAGCATTTCTTAAATTAGGTAGGCAGCTGCCTAACAAAACGAATGATCCGAGTAATCTGCTATCCGACAGGAAGGTGCCTTGTCGAAGATCTTGCGGTGAAACACTCCATTGCGGCGTCGTGCGGCTGGAAGTCATGGAGAATGCCAGCTCCAATGTATTATGTCCATAAGGCTATGGTCATTTTTTTTGAAAGCGACGAGTACTCAGAAGCAGGTTGATAGGAGAACTGGGCCGTGTCTTCGTGGGAAAGAATGTCAATTCTGAAGACAGACGACACTTGGCGTCTCGGCCGGGCACTCAGTTTCAAGTCGATGTCACCGCCAAGGTCGGGTGATGTGACTTGTGGGAGCATTGGAAATCCAGGATATCCACCCTGAGCTACATTTGGGCTATGCATTGGGTCTTCTGAAGAGATGGCGATATATACTCGATGCTATACCGCTATCGCCTTCAAGGGTCTCTCCTTCCCTCCCTCACTTGTTACTTCGATTTCTCGCACACCTCTGTTGTCATGCCTTCGCCTCCTGGCGTGCCCCCGTTTGATAAGATCTATGTCATCATTACATGGGTCTCGACCGGCTTATGGGGTGAGTTTTAGAGCTTACTAACGTTATATGTGCACTTGTTCTGACAAACTGATAGGTATGAAGTAAGCTTTCGCACCAAGTACGGCGCCACATTTGTTGATATTGACTCGTGACTAGCACTGTGATTTTTGCGGGTGTATGCTATGTACTTTTCATGCGGCCCAATAGCCGCATGACTAGGGTGTAAGCAGCACTCGTCATCACGTACCAACTCACTGTTTCATTTCTTTGACATGACAGGATCCTGGGTGGAACTTCCATATTGCTCTATTTAATGATCACGACACATGTCGCCCTGTCTCTTCGTGAAGAACTGGATGCCTTCGTCGACGTCCCACCAGGCTCCCCGCCGTTCTACGCTACTCTGTACTACTCTCAGATCACCGCGAAGTATGCAATTGCCAAGAACCTCATTTACGCCATAGCGGTGAGATTTCCAGAACATATTCTGGGTTCGAGGACACTGACTTTGAATGAGAAGGTTTTCATACAAGATCTCGTCCTTGTAGGTGCACCGTGATTCTCGCAACAGATGTTATATTGAGTATGTTTGATAGATATGGCGGATGTACGTCGTTTGGACACACAACTGGAAGATCATTATAATCCCGGTGAGATATCCCAATGATCATCAACGTATTCCTAAAATCTCATGGCTGCTTAGCTTGTGGTAGAGTTAGCCCACACTGGTGCGTTTTTTTTTGCGAGCCTCTTACAGGCGACATGCCCAGGCTCATTCACAATAGCCTGTTCTCTCACCGCAATTTGCTTTGGCTTCGTCCCCGGCTATACAATCCAGACCCCCATCGTGCAGGTTCTAGCCACCACTGTCGGTTGGACGATCGAGATTGCCGTAAACGTTCTTGTAACCGGTGCCATTGTGGGCCGTCTCTGGTACATGGGCCGCCGAATCTCCTTTGCAGAATCGAAGGGATCTATCGCCATCACTCGGCCCGGTATCTACCTCCGGACTATCTTCACCATCGTCGAGTCGGGAGCACTTCTTGTAGCGGTCACCATCTCTATGTTGGTGCTATCCCATGTCGGGAGTCCCGTCGGTCTTCCTTTCATGGACGTCGCTATTCAAGTCGCGGTACGTTCACATGCTGCATCCGGCTTGTGTCTCAGCCCCAACCAAATTATGTTGTCTCATCCTACGTTTACAGGCATTGGTACCATATCTCATCGTCGTGCGGGTCGGCCTCGGGCTGACACACGCCCTGCCTAACGCGTATGAAACTTACCTTCAGACGATATCCAACGAGGAAGGGATGACGTTCCGCGTGAACACCTTCGGCACGCAGAGCGGCGGCATTGACAAGGCCAAGATCGTGCCTGGAGGGAGCCCTCTTTCCAACTCGATGACCTCGCAGGGAAATGCATCTTTGGGCGATTTCCGCGCGGCAGACGGTCCCGACACGAATGTGTGAATTCTGTCATTATGTACCATAAGGAGGGACTATAGTTTTGAATGGCGATGTAAATTACTTGCGTCTTTGTAGTTTGTGACAATGTATCGCCTATCTGGAGTATGCAATCCTGTTCCTGAGATGAAATGACCCGTATAATGCGCACATTCCAATAGGGCTATCTTCATCCTGCCTTCCTGCGGTCTGGGTGCGACGCTCCCCTCATCCCTCGACGCATTCATCTACACCAGTATATTCTTAGCAATCGCCGTGACTACTTCAGAGATATCTAGCTCACTTATGGCTCTATCGACGATTCCTCGTACCCCATGCACTTCCTGCACAAGTCCTGGACATAACGCTTGCTTTGGTCGGTCGCGTGCTAGCTGAGTTACTACCGACAGATACCTTGCGCACTCACCACCCTTCATGTTGATATCCGATCAGTAGCTCAAGTAACTAAAGTCCTCCGATATGCTTCATCCCTGCCATAGAATAAGGCGGCTCTCCACGTCTGCCTTATGATCAGAATTGAAACGACATCTAGACGCCTTGACTTCGAGTAGCCGTTTGGGCTGACACACGGCATCGGGTTGAGGCTCGATTCAAAAGTCCTCAGCCAAGTCCAAACCAACTCATGATGAAAAGCCTGCCTGCATGAGATAGTTCTAGACTACAGATACCTACGACGTTGATATTCGTGGATCTGCTCTCCAAAACGTTGCGATTGCTTTCGCCAAGTCTGCATCTGAATTGGTCTCGACATCATATTCTCGACGATAGCTAACTACTCCAACTAATATCCCATGCACAATGAAAGAACTAAACGTGAACTACACCATATGGAAGCTTGTACCCACGATCATCGAAATACTCTCTACCAGACCGTTTGAGCCCACGCCGCAATCTCCTTCAGCACTTCCGTCCGCTCAGGCTCATGCCACGCCATAATGAGCAGATCGTGCGCAGCGTCGGGGACTTCCACCCACGTCACCCGATCCTTTCCTATATCTCTTTCAAGGCGCTCGCGCGCTGTGATCATCCCGTCGAGTGTGTACTCGGCGTTACCGGCCGCCATGAAAGTGGGTGGAAGCCCAGAAAAGAGCCCGGTCTTATGATCGTGGTCGAGCTTGGAATCCGAGCTCACCACAGCACCTGGGGAGATCCAAGAGCTTCGGGCGAACTCGGGAGGGAGGGAGCCAACTAGGGCGCGCATGGTGTAGCCGGAATCAATGAAGGGCTGGGGATAGTCCGAGGATGCATTTCTGACTCTGGCGGACTGGGGACCCCGGTGCGTGCATGCCCAATCCATAGTGGGGGAAAGAAGGAGGAGTCCTGCGGGGAGGGAGAGGGAGGAGAGCTGGGCGGAGACGAGGTACCGGGCGAGGTTGAGCGCGATTCCGCCCCCCGCGGAATCTCCGGAAAGAATGATCTTGCTCGGATGGAAGCCAACGTCCTCGACGAGGTACCGATAGCCGGCAACGGCGTCGATTAGGGAGGCGGGGAAGGGGTTAGCTGCCTCGAAGGGTGCTGTAGAGGACAGACGATACTCGATCGCGAAGATCCGGACGTTGAGGTGCTTGAGATATCCTTCATAGAGCGGCCCAGTAACGTCTTTAGGGTGCGCAGAGCCAGACTGGACGCGCAAGAGTCAGTAGCCGCAGTCAGATTTTAAAGGTAATCAGGGACTTACTACGTGGGCGCCGCCTAGACGTTGGGTGGTAGGTTAGCGCATTTCCTGGAAGTGAAAATTGTGAGACTGACCATGTACGTGATACACTACGCGCTCGTCAGGCGAAGCGCGCTGACCAGGTTCGCCGTCCGGGCCACGGGGGCCATACCAGAAGCCACCCCTCCGGACCGCTTGAACGCCATTCTTCTCTGCGAGTTCGAGGATTTCGCCGACAATGAGTTCAGGGGTCTCCTTAACCCATACGAAACCGGTTTTCTTTGCGTCCTTTGCGAGGACGTCGAGCGGAGTGGGGGAAGGGAGGGAGGTCTGGTACCAACTGCCGATGACGCTGCGGACGATGTTGACCATGAGACAGCGCGTGAGAGACCAGTGGCGCCTGGGACGAAAGGTCGGAACGGCGTAGGCGACGAGCCATGCTGGAAGAGCCGCGAGCAGGTAGAATGCGAAGCCTATGGTATAGAATAGCCGCAAGGGCTGTTTCCGGAATGCGAAGGGCATGATAGTGACGACGAGGAGACTGGTGACTTCCCCTCACGACGGAAGGCGAGAGAGGTGCAGCAGCTAAGAGGGGAGTGGATGAAGCTTGAGATGAGGTGTATTGGGCACGATTTCGCCACGAGGCTTGAAGGAAGCGAGCACTGCCCGAGATGCAGAGTTTCGGGGATAACTAGGATCTATCGAAGACGGAGAGTTGTCAGGAACGCAACGCGGGCAGCATGGGGAATGAGCGGGAGTAACAAGAACCCTATGCATAGAATGCAGTTACCTTGAGTCACCTTGAGAAGCTTTGATGCCTGATCCCGGCAGCAGCTGCAAAGCCGAACTACGAGCGGTTCACTTGAGGGGCCACAATCAACCCAAGCTTCGACAACCAACGCAATACGGGACTCGCGGTTCCAGTTCCTGCATAACATGATGGGGCGAGTGCTTACCTGACAAGGCCAGCGGTGATAGGTCGCAGACGGGGACCCTGCTTTCGCATTCGGAGCTTCGATGTACAGGAAGCTCACAACGTTGTGGTGAAGACCTGAGCTTATGTAATACTCGGGTGAAGAGCTCACACTGCACGGGGGCCTAAAATTCTGCTCGGCCCGGACACGCCGATGATCAAAGAATGCGGGAGGTAAGCTGTTGGTCAAGATGCGGGCTTTGCGGACAAACATTGTTTAATTATGGCAGATGTCTGTGGTGGGCGGCTGCCATAGATGGCCTCCGATCCATCATCTGTTTGCCAACTTCAGTCGCTCTAAGCGCCGTTCCATGGCTTCGCCTCTGACGGTCTTCGGTATGCCCCTCTTCGCCTCGCGCCCAAGTGTTGCATCACACATCTGCCTAGAAGTCCGTGATCCAATCCTCAGAAGAAACCTCAGTTTGACCATCGAGTCGACTTGACATCGCTAAACTGCTTCTAGAACGGGTTCATGCGAGCCGTACCCGAGTCTCCTTGCCGTTTGGGTGTTGTAAGTCTCCGTCTTGCAATTGCAAGAATGTAATTCCCCTGACATCACACTTCTTCCAATTCGCTCAGTGTTTGCACGCAATCGTCACGCTTTCATTCAATTGACATACATCCGCGATGGCAATCATACATGCCGGTCTCAATCCCGTTCTTAGCGTACAAATGTGTTGTCAATCTTGAAGGCAAGTTGTGTAGTCTCTCTGTCAGCTGCAGCATAGCTCGCCAATGCAACTTATTCTTCGTGTTTGCCACCAGGTGACTGCCCTCGTTTACCGTCCAGAGATGCCTCTCGTCCGTCGTCTCCGCTCAGGCCTCGAGCTCATCTGTACATTCTGCTGGCTGACGTTCCTCCCTATCCTCGTCATACAGCATGCTTACGACCGCTTATGCCAATCTCTCACATCCTTCTGTCAAAAATCGTCGTTGGAATCACTCATCGATCCCGCCGAAGAATCGGAAACTGGTGCTTCACCTGCATCTGAAGACCCTTTCATGAGCGGGGAATCTACACCTGTTGCCCTTTCCATAGAACATGGCATCACGACTCCATGCATCACACGGACCATCTGCGACTTCCTCGACGCTCATGCATCCGCATCGCCTACTGCCCTCGCTGCTCAGGATATCCTCGACCGTCAACTGACATATGCCGACCTCCACGCGCGCTCCGTTCGCCTCGCGCGACAACTCAAGGACCGAGGCGTGTGCCGTGGCAGCCACGTCTGCCTGGTGCTAGAGAGGTCGCTGGAGCATCTTGTATCCCTGTTCGCGGTGCTTCGACTTGGGGCGGCGTACATCCCGCTGGATGGGACCCTTGTCCCGCAAAGCGTGCTTCGAGATGTCGTGAACGACGCTCGACCAGCAGTTATTCTAGTTTCCAAGGCGCATGCCGCACGTTCCGGGAGCGTGGAGGGGAAGTGGTACTGCATTGAAGACCTCTTAGACGCGGACGAGCATATGGGACCTGAAACGAGGTTCGACGATGCACGACCCGAGGATCCTGCATATATAATCTTCACTTCAGGTGCTACTAACTATGTAGAGTGCTACCCAGCGTTGTCGCTAATGTGAATTTTGATAGGCACAACTGGGCGCCCCAAGGGTGTGGTCGTAAGTCACTCGAATGTCGTGAATCGTACGTACTACTTTAGACAATGTTCAACAAGGTCTGACATAGGCCAAGTGGTGTGCCAGGCTCCAGGGAACCTGGGTATCACCCCCGGAACAAAGGTGGCGCAGCTGCTGAACGTCGCTTTCGACATGTGCGCCTGGGAGATCTTTGGCTGCATCTTGAATGGCGGGAGTCTTTACCTCCGTGGCCTCCGACGTGCAGACTGGATCAAGGTGATGAAGACTGTCGACGTACTCATCTGTACGCCGTCGATACTGGAACCGCACGACCCGAAGGACTACGTGAACGTGAGGGTCGTGGCGACCGCAGGCGAGCCGTGTTCCAAGGCCCTTGTGGAGCGATGGGGACATCGTGTGAAGTTCTGGAATTGCTGTGGCCCCACAGAGGTCTGTGTTCATTCCAAACTTTCCGGGGGCGTTGTGCTATACAACAGTAATGCTTCCACTCTGACATGTTTCTAATACCCATCTCGGCTCGACTTGCAGACTACCATCGTGAATACAATGGATCTCTACCATCACGGCTCGGACGTGACGATCGGACGATCGACCCCTAACAACTCAGTGTACGTCTTGGACGAAGAGCTGCACCCTCTGCCTCGCGGAGAGGTCGGCATAATGTGGGCAGGCGGGTTGGGAGTCAGTCTCGGCTACCTCAACCTTCCTGAGCTCACAAAGATGAAGTATAGGCGTGACCCATTCAGAGCAGATGGGTACGTGTGCTCATCCCTTGGGCTTCCGCACTTATTCGGATGCACTCACAACCTACACCTACGACTTCAGAGGAATGATGTACAACACTGGAGACCTCGGTCGACTGCGCGTAGACGGGAAGTTCGATCATCTCGGGCGCGTTGATGAGCAGGTCAAGGTCAAGGTAGGCACGCTCGTGACCCCTCCAAATCTAACGCAGCGAGTACTGATTGTGAATTCTGGGGCGGGTAGGGCTTCCGGGTCGAGCTAGACGGTGTTAGCGCGGCGATGCGCTCATGTGCAGGGATCATGTCTGCGTGTGCGCTCCTCATAGACGGCGAGCTGCACGGATTTTACGCCCCCAGCTCTGTCTCTGCAGCGGCGGTACTAGAGGCAACGATGGCGATCCAGCCATGTTATGCAGTGCCGTCAAAATACATCGCGTTGGATACGCTCCCTTTGACTAGGTGGGTCGGCCTGAAGTGAGTGGATGCCATATGGACATCGCTTACAGATCTTACCGTGTAGCAACGGAAAGCTTGACAAGCGGAGGCTGCAGGAGATTGCGGCGAGCCCTGGTACACACTGAGATAGTCTACATTGGGTGGTTGGCTTGTCGGTCTTGGCCACGATGATTCGGACAAACCTACGATGTGTCAGGGCGACGATTGGTGCGGGTGATTCTCAAGAATGCATCATACGATAAGGATCATGGCCATACAAGGAAATGTGTCGGATTAGGGATAAATCCCTAAACGGAAGTAGCGCACTGTGCCTACCTCCAAACCACGATCATATCTCATTCTGTGTTGGAAGTGATTCTCGAAATCTGGAAGGTGTAGCAGAGGACGGCGTATGCCAGGCCAGTGTTTTGCTTCCAGACATGGAAGTCGCATAGATTAAGGGGTAGGTTTCCCGCATTCGCCGCAGTATTTCCTCCCCCACTTCTCGGCACATATATTTATGGAGATGGTCATGTTGTAACAACCATCACGTCGAGAAGAGGAATCTCCATATCTTCTGCCGTGTGTTGCCTAAACGGGCTGGTGCAATTCCGAACCCAACGATAGTCATCAACGTCCATCTATCACCCGACCGATCCAACGTGTCTTCCAGGCCTACTTCATGCGCAACAACATCAACATCTGCATGTGCAGCGTACCCGGACATCGGATGCCGCTAAGTAGATAAGATTTGCTCATAAGGTAGGTAGGTTCGGTCGTCGTGCTCTCGCCCCTCCCCACCACGCTATCAAAGACGCATGGCCCAAACAGGTCAAGGAAACATTTTGGAGCCTTCTTGGGAGGAATATGTTCTCCCCTCCCAGGAACCTATTGGTAAAACCGCTTATACGAGGTAGCTCATGCAATACGCTTCGACCCCGTGAGCTGACGCCGAATTGCGTACTTCAGGCCTCTTTTAGGGTCGGAGTTAGTCTTTGACCAGCTGCACAACCTCGTAGATGGGTACGCCTCGCCTTAGAGAGATTGTGAACACAGAGATATTCACCCCGTATCCTGGGCACTTCCAGATTCGTAGAAGTATGCATGGGGATTACGTTTAGCACTGCATTCTCTGGCGAAGAGCTACTCGCACTTGCCAAAGAGGCTGTGATACGCTGGCGGTACGTACTGCGAATACTTTGCGCCCAACCGTCCGTCGCACTTATACATTCCAGTTTTGTGTGTCCGATCATGGCTGCGACGCCTCGGTTTGGCATCCACCACCCCAAGCTCCGCTCCTGGATTTATACGCCTCTAGCCAATCACGACGAAGCCTACAGCTGGGCGGAAGAGACGGTCGTCATGCTCGATGAGGTCATCGACCCTTCCTCCTTCATTCAGCGCATAAACATCACACGTCTTCCTTACATTCTCTCCGACGGCACCGCTCAGCACCTTCGCGTGTATGTATTCCGACCGAGCAGCCTGGTGAACGTTTTCGCCATCTTCTTCCACGGACCACACGCCATGCTCGATGCAAAACCGAACATGCAAGCATTCTCCACGTTGCTCGAGTTCATGTCCAGCCCACAAGACATCGCTCTCGCTGACCTCCCATGGGGAACAGAACACAAGAACCTCCCGACCGGCCCTGTGACCGTGACCGGAGGGCGAAGCAAAGAATGGGAGACGGTTGGAAACGCACTCTTCGCCAAGGCAGCTGGGATGCACGCAAACCTGTCAGTACGTCGTCCGCATTGACAGTCTTCTTGATAGCTCGACAGTGATCGCCTCGAAGGCTGCACACCACCTCATGCGTAGACCGAATACGGACGTGGGCACGGGCAAGGTGCAGAGAGCCTTGATCGAGCTCACAGAAGCAGAGACGGCGAGTGTCGTCCAAGCACTCAAGCGTGCGGGGTTCGGATTCGGCCACCTCGTAGAGGCCGCGACAGCTTTAGCCCTCTATGACCTCAAGCCCGTGCCAGAGGACCAGAGCGAATCTGCCCATGTGACCTTCATGGCGGGCATGTACGCTCGTTCTGTTCCAAGTCGTTGCATGCTCTAACATTCGCACTTCTTGTCAGGATCTCTCTTCACGGAAGAATGTCTCCCCCGTATAGAGACAGCAAGACACACCTTGTCTCGTCCCTGGCCATGGTGCCCATTAGCATCTCTCTCGCGGGTCTCGCCGACCTCACCCCTAAAGAGCGTCTGCTCTCTGCTCTTGCGCAGTCCAAGGCCCACTACGATGAGTACCTCGCGAACCCATGTATCCTTCAGTTCACCGCGGAGCACATGCGCATCGCCCCGCTTCTCGATGTAGATGCGTTTGGGCGGCCCGCATGCGGTATCGTGACGAACCTGGGAAGGGTTGAGAACTACTTACCGAATACCTGGCCGCGGATTGTGGAAGATTGCGGTGCAGGTGGTCCGCCTGTTTTCCGCGTGGACAAGCTGCATTTCGGGCATAGGCTGATTCCCGAGATACCGTGAGTATTCTGCATGGATTTTGAGGGACCATGAACTTAAACCGGCAACGCTAGGAACGTACACGTATGGTCCATGAACTCCAGGTTCTCGATACAGATTCAGGTGAGTCAATATCGGGTACGATAGCGAACGTAGTGTACTCACAAGGGCGATACCACAGGCGGCAGACGTCTGGGAGGAAGCAACTCCTCAAGCGTACTTGAACAAGATCGTGCAGCAGATGCTTCTGATAGTATAGATGTAGGAAGGAGATATGTAAGGCGCGACAACAGTGAAGGATGACGAGATATGTTTCGTGCGCGAGGTTTTCCTCTACTGTAACTCGGGCGCTTCATTGAAGACATTGAGGGCGAAACGACACAAGCATGAACTAGAGTAGAGTGAGGTTGGCATGTAGCACCGACGTCGTTCGTGTTGATGTTGTATCCAGCAAGCAGAATTCAGGGATGCACACCCTTGCAATCGAGTGCAGAACGTCTCTGCAACGCAGGTAACTCAGATACTGGTGCTGAGAACAGCGGTGGAAACTTACAAGTCATCATGTACACGAGTAAACGACGTCAACCAATGCTAAGAACGATCTTGCGGAGCCCAAACGATGATCAATACATGGTTGCAGTCTCTGACCACCTTGTGCACGCGAGACGTCACAGGACCCACGTCAGTGCCGCATGAGTAGGTCGTTCAAATGAATATATCTGCGATAGACTGGAAGAAGGATCACCCATAGTGGCGAGGTAGCATGTATGCATAAGAAGCCATCTTGGTGAAGCATACAATCCCGTAAAGTGATGCATGATGACCCGTGATTGAAGGACAGCAACAAAGCAGAGCAAGTCAAACGACCGCGACTGGTGAGCGCTGTTTACTTCTCTTGGGGCGTGTCCGTGATCTATTCAGCATGGAGATCTACGCAGGAAGCGATACGCGTTTGAGCCAACGAAGCGGTGGAGATAGGCAGGGAGAGGACGTACCAGGAGGCAAGCTCTACTGGAGCTTCTCTGCCTTCTCAGGGTCATTGAGCGAGACTGTATAGAGGTAGCGGGAGCACCGGATCTAAAAATTGGTCTTGGTCTTGCCGCTAGGGACTCGCGACGCATTCTTCTTTGAACTCGCTGCTAGAGGAATCGGCCGGGCGTCCGGGCGTAGAAGGATAGGAAAAGAAGGGCAAGTGAAGACTGAGGCGCGAACCGCAATGTCCCATGAGCCACGACATGTGGACCACGATCAACTAACGAGCGAGTGAGCGAATGAGCAAGCGAGACGAGCAACATTGTACTCACCATTTGGGCGTTGGTCTTGTCCCTATCGGTGCCGTTGTACGCGTCGGCGTCGCGGAGTCCTGCCGCAGTGGCTGCCGATCTCCAGCTGTACAGTTCTCGGATATTGCCGAGTGGCCGTTAGGCCCACGTTTAGCGCTCTTCGTGGGCCATCGCTTGAAGCCTTGAACGAACTCAGGGAGCCAACCCCGGTGCAAATTATGTAAATGCGCTGACGCAACATTCCTCCATATCACCAGGCCTTAGAAATGAGGATCAAGCTCTTGCAGTGCTCCTTGTCCTGAGGCCTGAGGCTTCACATGGATCCCTCTCACCGCCCTTGTCTCCGTCTTTTTTGCCGCCTTCGACCTCGGCAACCTGAGAATATCCAGGTCCACGTCTCTCCTTGTACCCCTTCTCCTTCATTGGACCCGCCACGGTTCATACCGAGAACTCTTCACATGATCAACTCGAATCCGTACTTTTATCACAAATGAATCGTTCAAGTCTAGACTGTAGTTTGCCTGGGGAAAGACTGCGACTCCTGATTGAAGCTCCAAATTCAGAGGAAGTGAGAGATTGGCATCAAAGCCGGGGGATGAGCATTCTCCCAGCCTCACGCGCTTCTTCATAATTGACGAAATACTTCCCAGAGATACTTGTACCCTCAGGACTCCATTTGGTTCTATTGTTGAGCATGTCCTAATGCAGCCATATTCGGAGTCAGGCACCTGGCATAACTTTAAGCATGCTCGTGCTGAACAGACGAGTAGTTGTTTCCTTGATTATTCCTGAGTTTCATCACGATTCCCGCAACCACGATGACATCCTTCAATTCCACGAAGTGACAAAGACGGAGCAAGTGCACGAGGACCCTCAAGTTATCATATATTGGTGAGAGATTACTTACGGCAGTGTCCCTAGAAACACATGAGTAGCGCAATGGGTCGAGGACGCAGCCTGTTGACCTGTTGATGTCATGAGTTTTACCGAGGAACACGCCTTGTGACCGATCATGAAACTCGCTATTAATTGGTCACTCTGCAGATCTGAGACCCGTCCATCCACTGCTGTTGGCATCTTCGTATGGTGAGTACGTAAGTTCTTCTGGGACGCTTCTTGCGTATATCTTACATCAAATAACATCCACGAGGTACGTCGTGTTCTGACAGTTCGAAAGCTACGGATTCTACTGTCTGATGCACTATCACAGATGTACATAGCGTCCGCTGTCCCCACTTCTCGGCGGCGGCAATATCGGTACATGCACTTGTCGAGCATGTGACCTGCGTATGCTGATCATTGTAACCTTGACCTGAGTAGCGCCTTTCTCTATATAAAGCATCATACGGAGCCGGGCCGGGAACAGATTGAGCAGGACGATTAATCGCCTAGGACGGTGGGCCCAAGTGTCCTACTTCACAGTCCTACCCGGGTAATTACTAATCTTACCACATGTGTCTCATATCGGAGACGTACCTTTCTTCAGGAAGCAGATGCGTCGACACCGCGTGGGTCTACTTCCATCTCCCAGGGTTTGTTTGAAGTAGACAGCACCGTGTCGAATCAGAAAGTCTGGTCCTTAGGCCTATGACTCAGGCCGATCGTAACGTTTCCAGATGTGATAAGGGAACGTGTTCCGGGAACAGCGCGAAAGTCCGGTAAGGTTTCAATCAGATCACGAACCTTTCGAAGTGGCGAAGCTACGATGGGTTTGAGCGGGATATGATCGCACCTACTGTGGACCTGATTGTGAATGATAGACAAGCTCTACATGGGTAGAAGTACGACTGGGGCATATTCTAGAACTTGCGACACCTCGCAGAGCACGCCAGAAGTCGAATATTAGGCTACAAAGCCAGTACAAAAATTGAAAGCAATCATTGTGTTCCTCAGAAAGGTCCCCCTGCCCGACGACTCGCTTCCGTCATTGTGCACGTGCTTACTTTGCAGTTCGGTCAATGGATCAGCTATCAATGGCCCTCTCTCTCCCGCATCCCGACACGTACAGTGCATATGCGTTCATGGAACGTGGTGGTGATTTGCAGAAGATAATTGTCAAGTGGAGGGATCCTAATCCAGGCGAAATAGTTGTCAAAGTCCTCGCATGCGGAATATGTGCAACGTGCGCCCCATCAGCTTTGAGTTACGCACATTGACTCACAATTCGCACTCCCTCCGGTTAGTGATGGAATTCTTCATACAACAGCGCTCCCCGTGCCTATCCAGTTTCCGCGAGTCCCTGGCCACGAGATTGTGGGGGATGTCGTTGCTGTTTCTGCTACTGAAACCAAATGGCAGCTTGGGCAGCGCGTCGGAGCGGGTTGGCATGGAGGACATTGTCACACCTGTCCCCGCTGCGTTATTGGAGAGTATTTCACTTGTAGTCAAGTGGACATCAACGGTACCGTATCACTGCTCATGACCCTCCCAAAGGTACTGATTAGTATTTCAAGGAATCCTGAGAGATGGAGGCTACGCCGAATACATCGTTTTGCGATCTGAAGCCATGGTTGCAGTGCCTCGTGACTTGGAGCCGACCGAGGTCGCTCCTCTCATGTGTGCCGGAATGACTTGCTTCAGTATGATCCTCTATGCTGGCTACTTACAACAGAGCTAACACACGCCTCTTTCGACAGACTCCCTCAGAAATATGGATGCACAAGTCCTAGAATATGTAGCTATTCAAGGAGTGGGGTGAGTGCATTCCGATAAAGAATCAGTACGGGCCCTCATTGTCACATGAAGCGGTGTCGGCCACCTCGGAATACAAATCGCGAAGGCTATGGGTTTCCGTGTCATTGCAATCTCTTCTAGCGGCGACAAGGAAGCAGTAGCGCGCGAGCTCGGAGCGCATGAATACATTGACTGCTCCAAAGTTGACCCTGTGCAAGCACTGCAAGCATTGGGCGGAGCAAAGGTCATAATGTGCACGGTACCAGATATACACGCGGCCATGAAGCTCCTACCCGGTCTTGCAGTTGACGGCACACTGCTCCCGCTCACACTTGAAACCGAGCCCATTGTCATCCCACCTAGTGAGTATAACGTCTCCTTGATATGACACGGCGAATGGGATATTGATATGCTCCCAGTTGCTTTACATCCGAGTCGTTATGCTATCAAAGGTTGGGGTGCCGGAGTGGCGAAGGATATTGAGGTGTGCTTAACTTTCGCTCAGGCTCAGAACATAAGGGCGATAGTGGAGACATTCCCACTTGACAGAGCGCAGGAAGCTTACAATCGTCTCACCACTGCGAAGTTTCGTGCTGTAATTGTTCCCAACCTCTGATCCAGATGTATAATGGTTTTCAATCACGAGATGCCCTCATTGGGGTGTTTGAGGCACTAATGGCTCGTTATTTCACCCCGTGTACCATCTGGAATTACATTTGTCAGGCGGAGCAGTCTTCAAATAAATCAATCCGTTTATGCATTTCCCAAAACCCCTGCAGAATTGGTCATTGACCGCCCTGGCAGGACGACCGATTCATCCAAAGAATTATCAGACCAAGCTATACCAGACATAATATTCTCGACCTATGCAGGACCCTGTTTTGACAGAGGAATGTCTTCATTTGGAAGACCAGCGTGGAGCGAATAGAAGCTGACGGAAGATGAGTACAAACAGCCTGGGCCTGATCATATTGCAGCCGCAGGCCCCTCGCACTTCCTGGCTGTCAACGACACTCATGTCGACTTTTCGCGCGATATAAAACACCTAAAGAGAAAGACGACTGCTGATGACCATCAACTTGATGGTCATCCGTTCGGTTAATTGGGGACTTTACCCCGAAGCAAAGCGACGCTCTAGCTGAGCTTGAACTTTCTCTTGTGCTTCTTTGATGAACAAGGGACGAACGCCGTTCCGTACCTGTCTTCAGATTTGATCAGGTTGGCTTCAGGTGCTCTTTGTGGTCTGATGGAACTGAGCTGAGACTCATCCGCTTGTGGTGCGTCTTGAGCCCAATCCTTCAATTGGGCCCCGAGGGCGCCCAGCCGTTCCCTGAGGATTGTTTTCCTTCCCCTCATCTGGACCATCGTAGGCTTACGACTCTTCCTCTCTTACTCGTTCTCCGCGAATGACCCCTCAGCTTGGAGACCGTCTCAAAGGCACAGTTGTGGTCATTGGTGCTGGTATAGCAGGGTTGATAACCGCGTATACCCTCTTGAGAGACGGTTTTGAAGTTCAAGTCTTGACTCGGGATGCTGAAGCTGGGGGTGTTTGGTCCCAAGACCGCATATATCCTGGACTTTTTCTCAACAAGTACGTCTATAACCGCTGCTCCAATAAGCCTACGTCACTGAATGTCCTGCGTAGTGTCCATGGAGAGTATCGCCTATCTCCGATGGAAATGTCGCCTCTAGTGGAACGTTCGGATGTACGCCTCGGAGGCCAGGATCTGAACAAATACACGACTGCATTTGCATCAACATTCCTCAAGGGCAAAATCGAGTATGGAATAGAGGTGCATCGCATTCGCCGTGGTCCGGCTGGGTCGGGATGGCAGCTCGAGGTTTTGAACCGCTCGACAGCTCTGCCTGAAACCAGACTTTATGACCGCCTTGTACTCTGTACCGGGGTCAGTGTTCAATTCAGTAATGCCTTCGAAACACTCAATCTTTTCTAGGGTTGCAGTGCAGGCTTCGTTCCGGAGTCACTCAGCCCCAGCGCTGCAAGTGCTGCTGGCTTCCATAGGATAGTGTGCCACAGTGTTGACTTCGGAAGAAAGAGGGCTGAGCTTCTAGCGTCTGTCCCGGAGATTGGACTGGAGCCCTCCAGAACCATCCCATCCATTGTTGTCGTTGGAGGAGGGAAGTCCGCCCAAGATATATGCACGTACCTCGCAAATGAACGCCGCAAAGTCACAATAGTGTGTCCTGACTTCGATGCATTCACGGCTAGGCCGAAGCCACTTCCTGACTTTATTCGGAAGAGCAGGTCAGCGGTCTCACAGATACATTGGGTTTAGGCTGATACAGTGGCAGGCTCCTTGCTCTTTTATCGCCCCATATTCACCTGAGAACAGGGCTAGAGTAAGTGCTTGTGTTATGTTGTTTTACTTTGCTGAACCCTGATGCAGGCGTTTTTTGCACACTACTCGGTTGGGTAAGAAAATTGTCAACTCTTGGTGGAATCGTCTCGCTGAGGACTCTGTGCGTCTGTCCCCTGCTCTTGGTGCTCTTCAACTTAACCTCAGCACTGCAGTACCGTGCTGCGGGAGTGCCTGCAGATTCTCCGCTGCGCCGCGCCGTGCGGCCGTTCTGGCATACTCGCGTTAACGATGAAGGTGTACCTCGCTCTAACGGTTTCCATGCGCTCGTATCTGCTGGGAAAGTAGAAGTTATATGTCCTGCACGAGTTGCTCGCTATGGCCGCGACGGTATCTCTGTGATACTGGAGGATGGCAGATCCCTCCCTGCAAGTGCTGTGGTTCTCTCCACCGGATATAGGTCGTCTTGGCCCACTATTTTTGACGGTGAGATTATGATCCTACATAAGGGTGGATATCAGAATTGACCATACTAATAGAGGAGACCACCAAGGACCTAGGGTTGGATCCCCAGCCTGTGAACGATACAACGACACATCAGTGGAAGTATACGACACTGTCAAATGCTCCTCCGTTACATCCTGAGGCAAAACGTTGGTCGTCTACTCTATACCATGGTATAGTTCCGGCAAAACACATCGTCCATCGTGATCTGGCTGTCAACGGCGCTGTTGTACGTTGGGATAGTAGACTCATAACATGTGCTTTATCATACTCACTCTCAGACATCTTAGTTGTCCCCGAATTTCGGCTACACCACTGAGGTTACCGCCCACTGGATCTCTTCCTACTTTCTTGGAGATCGCTTCTTACGTCTTCCTGCAACCTCTGAGGAGGCGCTCGCCTTGACGGAACGAGAGGCGGCGTGGCTTCGAACCCGCTACCCCCAGATCCCGACTGCCCTCAACAACAGCCACACGAGCTATCTAGCGTTTTGGTCGTGAGTGGGATTGAGTGCCCTCAACTTTTCGCAGAACTCATCCGAACTTCTCTGTCCTTATCTTGCAGGTGGCCGCAGCACGTGGACGACTTACTTGAGGACATGGGTCTCCCAGTCATGCGGAGCGGAGGGAACGCTCTTACCTGGCCGCTCAAGGTCGTCGATTTGAAAGAAATTAGTTCTTTGAAGGAGGAGCGCGATAAAAAACGGGCCGGGAAGAAATCTTGAGAACTTCAGGTATCTACACGTCTCCCACTTACTGCCCGGCTAGAAATTCTCTGTCATGACGTCACTTTGGACCGCGAACTTCTTGATGAGACTGCGTGCGTGAGCAGACTATAGAGACGCAAGGACGCGTAATCTACCTTCGGCTTTCCTCCTTGCGCGTGTCGTTGACTACATAGTTCTAGTTTTCTCCACGTGTGTCGAATATAATTTATACTTGGAAGATTGCTCCGAATGTGCACCTACATTGCGATCCCTGGGTTTTTAGCTTGGTACACTCCGGAGCAAGTTTCACAGCGACCACATTTTCCATTTTTGTCTCGGTTTGAACACCGAGTTTGCCGAGAGATGCGTCTCTTCATACCAATCTACTTCCATGTAGCCTGCTGGTATCAGCGAGCAGGTAGCCGACAGGGATAGACACGGGTCTACTCATGCGGATTCTGACTTGACCCGTAGTACCCGTACCCGTATGGGCATATACCCGTAGTACCAGAGGCGGTTTTACCTGACCTGTGTCCATCCCTACCTTCGACATGTGAGGTCGGCAGCATGTGAGCAAGCATGTTGGTAGTCAGTATCGGCTACCTCAACCCTCCAGAGCTCACAAAGATGAGGTATAGGCGGGACCCATTCAGAGCAGATGGGTACGTGTGCGCATCTCTTGGGTTGCCACACTTAGCCGGATGCACTAACAATCTATATTGATTTAGGGACAAAGAGGAATGATGTATGATACCGGAGACCTCGTTCGACTCCGCACAGACGGGAAGTTCGATCATCTCGGGAGCGTCGACGAGCAGGTCAAAGTCGGGCTAGCCACGCTCGTGACTCCTCCGGTGCTAACGCAGCGCGTACAGATTGTGAATTCTGGGGCGGGTAGGGCTTCCGGGTCGAGCTAGACGGCGTCAGCGCGGCGATGTTCTCATGTACAGGGATTACGTCTGCGTACGCGCTACATAGACGGCGAGCTGCACGGATTTTATACGCCCAGCTCGGTCTCTGCAGCGGCGGTACTAGAGGCAACGATCGCGCTTCAGTCATGCTATACAGTGCCGTCAAAATACATCGCGTTGGATACGCTCCTTTTGACTAGGTGAGTTGGCCTGGAAGGCGTGGATGCCGTAGGGACGTCACTTACAGATTTTACGTGGTAGCAATGGAAAGCTTGACCAGCGGAGGCTGTGTGACATGGCGGATGACCCTGACGTACGCTGTGAGATAGTCCACGTTTGGTGGTTGATTCTGAGCGGGCGTCAGTATCGATTATTTGGACGAAGCCTGAACCTACAACGTCACGGAGGTGGTAACCGAGAACAAGAAGACTTCCTGCTGTTCCTCCAGAGCAACGCTGGCATCGGCATCCATCCCCCGCCCTTGAAGAGGTTTCCACTTCTTCGGCTCCGATTAAGATAAGCACCCAATCAGTTTGCGCTCTTCCGGAGCGACCAGCTTAGTGCGGCGGCACTACCGCCGAAGTATTTGGATTTCTCACTGGGTTTGGTCACGTTTTGGCATCATTTTCAGAAAGTCCTTCGAAGGGCAAACTATACTCGACCGTTATTAGATATAAATAGTCAAGATGACCATTCCGACGTCAAACGCATGCGAGCCCGACAAGCCGATGAACCTATCGCACGGAGAAAGCAATCTGAGCGCACAGTCGTGAGACGACATAGTTTCGAAGACGTTGAATTGCATAGCAAGCCAGCTTAGGTTTAAGTGAAACGTTGCACAATACTATGAAAGTATTGCCTAGCAACAGTCGCGGACTCTTCCCAATCAACCAACTGGCGGACGTCAAAAGATAAATTCACGCTCTCGGAACGGCAGGAAGGGAGTAGGCAGTGCGCTGTACAACCAAGCGTCCTCAGCGTCCGCTAGGAGATAGGATGGACAGTACATGTACCATGAACCATATTGGTGGCTCCACCTTTTTCAGGCCGAGGGCGTGTTCGACAATGGTCTGATCCTGCTTCGCCTCGAGTTGCTTGACCTTCCACTCGTGTCCCTTTACGTCCCGGGGGTTTGCGTCCGCGTTAGCGATCTCCTCGAGCTTCATCCACTTTCGCTGCATCTCTCCATCTCTCACCTCGATTATAAGAGCAGCCTTATGACGGTCGAGGTGGAGGGCAGCGTCTTCGAGTCCGCATGGAAGATGTGCGCTGACAAGCTGACATTCCAGACTCTATGGATACGCGAGGAATGAGATCTCAGTACGAAACGAAGATATGCAATGACCTCCACGAACGCCTTTTGAACGCCTGTAAGCTCATCGTCGACGTCCATCGCATGAGAACGGAGGGATCGGAGCTCGGAGTCGAGCGAGCACAGCCTCAACCTTCTTGAAGTGAACGCGAGTGGCTTGCTGACGGTCAGAGAGCGACGGATGACCAGAATGGGTAGCCTTGCGCTCACGAATCACCGTCTTGAATACGACATTCTGCCTGCTCTCAGTCTCAGCGGCGACCCTGCGGCTTCAGGCGAGGCTCGTATAAACTGGGAAGACCTGCAAACGGAAGTCGCGAGCTCCTCCTACATGCTCTTCGCGACTTGACTGTGACGAGTCTCTTCGGCGATGTTTGTCCCAAAGAGTGCGCGTAGTCAGTCGATCTCGGCCTGGGCTTCGATTCGCACACCTGCGTCGCCCTGCTTGCCTCTGAACTCTGAGTCGAGCTGAACGGTGGCCTACATTTGAGCGAAATCCTGCCGGAGAGATACATGATGTTCGTCGGGTTATTGTAGACGAGTAATACCCTGTGAGGAAGGGTAGTTGTTCGACCAGGGATTGACAGGGATTGCAGATTGGGAGTATCGGGGGAAAGGCCCTCCACATAGCAACGCACTGACGGGCAGGGGATCAGCGCTACTTCGAGGGAAAAGAATTCATACGCTTTGCTTTGCTCCCGCTCCCAATACCCAGGATATCCACCGAGGTTCAGGGGTACCGATCATTGGGTCCCAACGCAAATATGTCTAGCCCACGAGTCGTCTATAGCATCTGGCTGAGCTGCTTAAAAAGCGATCGAAGGCAGTTGGATCAAGGTCATCAGGGAAAGTCGGATTCTTCGCCATGGAACACAGGAAGATGGAGTAGGCGAGGTGTATGCAGGAAGGCCAAGTGAGCGATTCGCATGAGCGCGATGTAGGAAAGGCAGCGAAAGCGTTATAGGGGATAGGATCAAAAACAAACAAGGGCATTGAACGTAGCCACCAAGCAAATGATATCGGAAAAAGGCAATATTCCGAGGTGCGAAAACGTACAGGCGCATGAGGACGACAGTGATGACCTTGAAGCGGTGCTTGAGGTAGCGGAAGTTTAGTGCGCCGCCTCAATATCTAGAAGGCTTTTAAGCACTGTCTGCATTGCGCATGAGAAGCAATACTAAAGATGACTAACGGAGGTGCCCACCTAGTCCTGATGCTTACACCGGGCAAAGTTGTCTTGAGCCTGTTCGATCGGGAGTCGCTATGCTCCGTCGACAGTCGCTCAGCAATCCATGCCTCTCTCCAGTGGATCAGCAATTGATTTAGCGAATTACTGCAAACAAAGCCTAAGGATGCCTCCGTCCCTGGAGTTCTACACGTTCAGCATATCTTTTGAGCCTTAAGCGGGAACTTCTCCCGGGGTTGCTGACGCAAAGGTAACGAGTCTGCCTTGAATTGCATTACGCGCTTCCCGAGTAGATTCCGGAGAAGGACTTTGTAGTCGAAACACCGGCGACATGAGACGCAAGGGTAGCCAGGATAGTAACATAAGATGATATGAACGAGTCAGATGAGAGTGCGAGGGATGAATCAGCGATATCGATGCTTGCGTGCTGTGGCGGTACATCTCGGACCGTAGACGGGGCTTCGGGCCGGAATCGGGAGCCGCCAGGAGTCTTTCTCCTGGCAGCTGCGATGCTTGAGCTTGCACTTCTTCTCCACGTGTTGGTGCTGGTCAGGCCCTTATACCTCTGCGTTCCCGACGCCATTACTCACAAATCTTTACAACAAAAGAGTTGCGTTGAAAACCCCCTCATATCTTCTCAATTACAAAACGAGCTTGGGTCAACACGCGCGAGGAGCGAGGGAACCAGATGATCCTCATCAGGTGTGCCTTCCACTCGCTCTGCCGTATCATCTCGCAATCCTTCTTTCACGGTAACGTCTGGTGCGGGTACTCAAAGAAGACATCCAGTATCTCGAGGCACTTGCTCCTCTGCCAATGATTCCCTCACATTCCCAACTCCCTTGTTCTCGAACTCAATATCTGACCCCGTCGTGCCGTCTCTTGACCTTGTCTGCAGCAGCTCGCTGCGGTAGTATGTGGGGAATTTCCGTCAGTCGCTCCATTTCCGGCTGTGCCAGTTCTACCTCGTAACGACTATTTCCGCTTCCTCGCGAAGTAGTTCCTACAAGCGCATCCCATGCTCGAAGCATTCGGGAACGCAAGGGCGTAGATGAACAATAATTCGGATAGTTTAGGAAAGTTCATCTTCACCAGCCTATCCCCGGACGATAGCGTCATTGGCGCTGATATTTACACCTTAAACAGAACCTGGCTCGCGAGGACCTGCTCGTGCTCACCAGTGCATACATAACTAAGACACGTGCTTCAACTAGAATTCAGCAGGCTAATCCTTACAGCAACCTAGGTTATCCTCGAGCAAGATGGACCCTTGCATAAAGCTGTCGGTATCGAAATCATCAAAGACGGCGCGATTAAACGTCTTCAGAACGTCCGCAGAGATTTCGTGAGCGCCGCAGGTAAGCAGATTCCAGAGGGACGGGATGGGTTGAGCTTGACGTGGACACCGGGGGAGAGCTCGTATCAAACACCGCAGGTCCTGGAGCTATCCGGGATGGATAACCCTGATATTCTTGAGCAGCACGGCATCAACGTGAAGGTAGACCTGCCTGGGGTAGAAGAGAACCTCCGTGAGCCTGATCCTGAGTATTCCTTGTGAGCCGTATACAACAGAACATGCATGTTGGTCGCCTATCATGCGAAGAAAACATGCATGTCGTGATCGGACACTGAGCCGAGAGGCGACAAAAACATGCATGTTCTGTTGTAGAATCTACTCCTTGTGAGAATTCCCTGGCTCATGCCTACCTGCAGAGGATCACATTTTTCTATCCCCCAGAGTTTGCTAGAGCCCAAGAGGGGCTGTAGTGAGTGTTGAGGTCTGAGTTAAAATCCTGACGTGACTTCTGATACTCGCTCTCAACAAACAAGGCAAGGGCTTTTCGCTACCATCCCCGCCCAAGCATCCGTCTTCCTCTCCGCGGACGCCCTCGGCCCCCAGAGGACGTCGCTCGGTGGCGTGCACAGGCGGACACGCAATGTACAAATACATTGGCCAAGGTCCTGCCCTCCTCCGGCCTCAAAAGACAGTACGCAATCCACTGTTAGTTGTTCGACGACAAGAAGCAGCCACAAGCCGAGTACGTCTCCCAGGTTTCCCCCACATCGTTGTCCCTGCACCTGACCCTCCTTCCTTTGCACGTAGGCTACTCATGTTCGTCGGCCGCCAACAAATGGCGATTGCCCCTCCGGCCAAGCCGGGCGCGCGCTACCTCTCCCTCGTGTGCGCGCTCTCCCGCGCTCTCTCGCACGGCACGCGCGTCCGCAGACCCTCTGGCGCCCTCGCGGATCGACCCGAACTACTTCGGGAGCGAGGCCGACCACGACCTCTACGTCCACGTCCTCCAGCACACGGTCAAGGTCCTCTGTGAAGGGACAGGTGATGCCGAGGCCGGAGATGCTTGCACGAGGAAGGGAGGGTCTCGTCGAGTACATCAAGAAGAACGGTTTCCAGGTATTCCATCCTGTCGGGACGGCGGCGATGATAGCACGCGCCGATGGAGGCGTGGTAGACCCGACACTGAAGGTGTTTGGGACACGTAACCTCCGTGTCGTGAGTGTTGTTTGTTTCCTGCCGCGTATCACTTATTGAGAGTCCATGCTGAACAGGTCGACCTGTCTGTGCTGCCTATGGTACAGGGATGCTGTCGCATCTGTACGACAAAGTCTAACGCTATCTATAGGAGTTCGTCTGTCACGCAGTAGGCAGCGTACGCTATCTGCGAGCAGGTACGTCTCCGTCTTGCCTTGTCTCTGCGAATCATATAGCCTTAACACTTCGCCAAGCGGCGGACATCCTGAAGTCTGAGCTGCCTGGAAAACCAGGCAACTGAATCTGCTGATCACGCACGGTCGCATGGTCTAGATCACGCTCGTCGGTACTGATCTACCTCACTATGTCAGCAGTATCAATGCAGCGTGCCTAGCGGCAGAATTGAGTATTCTGCAAGTGTAAGTCGATGTACGTACACTCTAATGTCCGCTTGATTATGTAAGGAAGATAGCGGACTGTGACTATAGCAATGCCGAGTCACGAAGGGGTGTACAGTAGTCTTGGGTCCACGCCGGAGGCAAACAGCTCGCTGTGGCAGAGGGCGTGAGATTGGTTTCTAAGAGCGTGATTGTCAACTATATGCCTATGAGATTACACTCGGCTTCCAGACAACGCCTGCCTAATCGAACAGCACGACTTACATATAATGACTGCAGTAACGATGAAGAAGGCTACAGGTCTGCGATGGAGGTACGAGTACTCGACTTGCACGCTCACGAACTGTGTCCGCCGGTTGACCTTAGCAACGCTACTCATTTCGCGCTGCCCCACGAATTCCGCCGTAGGCAAGATCGTAAAGCGCCTATGAGGCACCTTCTGTTACCGTTGGTACGCCCCACCCCCTATCTTTTTCTATTGGACTACTCCTTCTTGTCGCCCTCGTGTACACTCCACCCCCCTTCCTGTTCCCGGCGACCTATGTTTACCTTCCCGTTCCCCTGTCGTCCGCCTGTACACTACCACCCCCCATTCCGCCCCCTGACGACTGCGTTCCTAGTCCCGGCCCTCTCCCTTAATATTTCCCCTTTCGTCTATATGACCGGACCCTGAGTCCGACCCTGACCTTTTCCCTTTTCAGTTACATTACTTTACCCTGACCCAGACCCCGACCCTTGTCGCGCCCCCTTTCCCTTTTCGGTTAGATTACCCGACCCTGACCTAGACTCAGGACCCTGTCCCGCCTCTATCCCCTTTCGGTTATATCACAGGACCCTGACCTAGGTCTTGTACTATACTGGGCCCAGCCTCGACCAGACGCGTTCCTTTACAGTCTCCTCATACCTCCCCACTTTGGTCGGTTACCTTTCCCTTCCTAATATGGTCGGTACCCCATAGTATATAAGGAGGCCTGTAGCCGGTAGAGGCTCCCCACTTCTGTTCTCCTCTTCGTTACCTCCTGTATCCCTATATCCCTCAATCTAGGGACTTGCGCGATACTCTCTCCCCCGTGTGCTACACCGCGTACTTGGATAAGTCCGCGTGATAAGTCTGGATAGACTTGTGTAAGTACTTCAGCGTAACACCTTCGATCAGAGTGATACATGTAGATCTACAGCCGGTTGAGTTGAGACGTGCTCAGTCGCCTCAGGGAAACATCGAGCTAGTGAAAGAGAGCTACGCGAGACAGCTGATCGGAGTAGTCCTCAAAATCCGGCAGCCTCTACTACAGAACGCACTGTG